ATAATCGCATCTCTTAAAGTTGAGGAGTGTAAAGCAAACAAAGGTCGAAAACCAGTCTTCCGGGGTGAAATTAGCGTGAGTTATTCTTTAGATGTTTTCGATTCTTAAACAACACCGAAGAACGCCAAAACATGCTAAAGTGCGATTTCCTGCTTTATATCGCGTAACTCGGTAAGAAAATGTAAATCAGTGACGGTCTGTGACCTTGAAATTTCGATCACCTAAACAAAATGCTACGAGCAACATGTCACCGGAAGTTGCGAATGGATTAGACTAACTCTTCGTTGAAGTCACAACTTCGAAAATCCCATAGTTTCGGCGAAATAATTTGGGTGTGCAAATAGCCAGCGACAAATGCACGAATGCAGTTTGAATGCGCGCGCCTCTTTGCCCGTGCACAACTAACCAATCAGAATGCTGGTTTGGCAATGTGGTGAAATATTGGTAGCTCGGGTGAGTTTATTCATCAACTGCGCAGTGATGATGTCTCCTCGTATGGTGACGAAACGTTTGCAAGCCAATTGCCAAACTCGGCGAACAGGTCAACAGCCATCTGATCAACAACCAATAGAATGCTGGTTTGTGCGTGTGTCGCAAGCTACCTAAAGCGGCCTCCAGCGGCAATGTATGGCTATACGGTCGCAAATGAGCTAGTTATCATGCAGTCCAATGTGTATGAGCCAAACCAACGAGAGATTGTCTGCGAGGTTGTCGTAATTGCTGATGCTAGCATCAGCCTCATCTAATCAACGTTCTTGTATTTATGGGCAACTTAACTCAAGCTAAACACTATCCGTTATGAGTCCGTCGAAGGACTTCATTGGAGTTCCGGGAGACTTTGTTTCTGGACCACTTCTGTTTCTGATCTACGTCAACAACCCTCTAGATGGTCTTTCAAGTCCATGTCTACTTTTTACCGATGACTTGAAACCCTGGGGTTCAAATGTCAGCTCTCTGCATCTATAAATGCTGCAGCTCAGAAGGCCTTCGCCATCCAACGGATGATCCGGCGAACTTTCCCCCGTATTACTCGCATGAACTTCCAGACACCCTATGTGGCCTATGTCAGGCCGCTCCTTGAATACGCCAACCAAGATGTCTATTCAGGGCACAAGAAAGACAACGCTTGTTTTGCGTGTCCAACGGGCTGCATCGAAAACGGCTGTCGGACTTAAATCCGTTTATATGAAATGCATCTCGCGTTGCTTGGCCTATTTCCCCTGGAGTATTGTCGCCTCTGAGGAGACCTAATACCCACCCTGTTTGAACAAGGTTTGGCCAACAGGTATTTCACCGTTGGTCTAATTGACGCACAGCGGAGACATGGTGAGAACAAGCCCAGAGCGAGTACTTTTATTAGGCAACAGTTTTTTCATTTCGGGTATTTGGTATGTGGTATAACTTTCCTCCGACTGCTGTTCATGATGCATTTTAGACGCCTTTTCAGTTGAGTCCTCTCGATAGTAAGATTGCCCCGCTGTGCTGAGAACTTAAAGAGCAGTGCTACACCCTATTTCAGCTTGTGCCTTTCAGGTGAACAGAGGCCGCTGAATGAACAGAACAACACAGATCCGGGAAGTTTGGGCGAAAGCGTCGATCCTGTGTATCAATCCGTGAATCTGTAAGCCGCAATATCCATTTCAAACTTAGCAGCCATGGCCGTAGATGCTTCAAAGTCAAACTCCAATACACAAAGCTTTCGCGCTCTGAAACAAGGCCAGTCGTGTTCAGCACGGATGCCTTTCTGTCGTACAGACAACTTATTTAAACTGCATATGGGGGAGAGGCTTAGTGCTAACATACCATAGTCATTCCGAGGCACTTACACCTACGGACACTCATTCCGACAATCTGAACAGAAACTGACAAGAATTCCATTGACTTCGACTACCATCTGTATCTCGCAGCCTCCCAACAATACAGGATGTAGAACAGGTGGACTCCATCCTATGAGATAAGTCGCATCGACAGCATTCAAACTTCTCATGATATCTTCCTTACCCCTCTGTTGGGGCAAGGGTTTAACACCTGGGATTACCCATGATGCAGCACTCTCTTCGGCAAAGTGTTTTGTCGGGCCTCATACATGGTCTAACCGCGGAAGCTTATATTGCTGGATACATTCTTCTGTGGAGGCTCCCGAACACTCAATGAATACACTCATCTGCATACACATTTGGTTTTCACAGGAGACTCACCTGAAACCCAGCTGAATCTCTTGTTTATAGTGTTTATGATGTCTTGGTGTTAGTGATGCCGAAGAGCTTTTAGCAATATATTTCGTCACCGAACACTCGTTTTCTAATTACCTGGTTACGAGTTCGCCGACACCAGCGTACCCGACCTGTGATTCTGAGACAAACAATCCGTACTGCAGCCTGATTTGTACGTCCTTTAGGATTCGAAGATACGTCTTTTTACCGCCGCGGGTGCCTCAAATTAACAAACACGACTCGTACCTTAGAATTTCGTATACTGACCTAATCTATCACACTAATGGAAACCTTTACAACTTCCAGGGTACGTGGAAAGTTCCACAACATTCAGTGTGTTCATGGTCGACCGTTGAGCGTTTGGAGTGTACGGTATTTAACCTTTTCCAACCCGTCCCTCATCGAAAGAAGGCCATGCCCCTGTTTCCATTAAAATGGACATGCTGGTCGCTTGAAGGAAGCATCTTACTGTCTTCACACATCCTCGCAAAGGGTGATACGACTTTACTCCCAGACTACGTCGTAGTACGATTACTCGTTGTACGGGCTCTCATCCGCAACTATTATTAGGAAAGCTGACAAAGACCAGTCCTTTGGCATGTGCATCGCACCCACAAAGTGCACGTCACCTTGTGGGACGTATGCTCTTTGAGTGTGATTTTAGGAATTCAAGGATAGACACCGGAAGTTGCGGGACATCAGGCCTATCTTGGGAGTTGAAGGTGTGACTTATTAAGTCAGAGCATGAATTTCGCAAGCCAGAATTGTATGTACCAATTTTCACCACTTATAGCATCAAAAAGGCATACCAATGGTTCTCAAGGACGTGTGATTCATACTACGGTGCTCAGTAGGTTGTAAGACTACGAGACCTCCCGTGGAGTATCTAAGATATCTCCAGGCCTTTAACCACCGATGTCTTGATTGTAGCTGGAATCGGAAGAAACCAGTGATTTCGCGATGGGCTGATTAGCAGAGGTCTCCGCTGGAGCAGACGCTACTTTATTCAAGGACTGGATTCACCACTGCAAGTTTAGATGGGTCCGTCATGTGCTCCATATGCCGAATTACCGTCTGTCGAGAAGGGCTTAATGAATTTTTCTTAATTCGGAGTGGTGGCGACTTAGAGGTAAGCAAAGCGTGGTAAAACGCGCCTACTAAATATTTCACGTCCTTGTTTCGACTGGGTATCATATCGGAGCTGTCGTTGGTCCGTGTGCGCCAGCAGAACGACTACTACTTCAACATCTACCAGAGCAATCCGATATGCATGGCACTCCAGTCAGCGCACGTACCCTGACGGTGGTCATGGTCGGATGATAATAGACAACCATCTACCACCGGCTTTCTGAATTAGGCTGACGACGTAGTGACAGATACCGTAGGCTTTTCTGATTGGGTAACGCAGGGTTACATCGGATAACGCATGTAGTACTCATGGCGAACGATATGAATGTCCGATTTGGACGACTAATTCAGGAAGAAGCACACTTAGGTGGTAGATTTGGAATTGATGCTGAGCGGATAATAAGGAGCGACCTCTTTAGTTGTCTACAGACTATCATAACGTCAGTTTGTTTGACAAGGGAAGAGTTCACTGCGGTGGTGCGATCCATACTGCTTTATAGATCAGAAACGTGGCCCCTGCGCGCAAAGGACATACGGAAGATGTCAGTGTTTGACTATCGGTGTCTCCGAAGCATTGGTCAGGTCTGGTAGGAACATCGGATTAGCAATGCTGAGGTACGCTAGATGGTCTTAGGAAGAAGAAACTCTCCCGCGATAGATGAATTACTCATGCTTCATAGGTTACGCTGGTTAGCATATGTACTTTGCATACCAGAAGGCTGTCTAACTCACAGAGCTCTTTTACTCAGCCTTGTGCTGAGTGAAAGTGACCAAGAGGTGGACGGGTAACGGAGTACGAAAATACTAGGCAGTAAACTTAGTCGGGTCGGCAATTGCCGCCTCCCCGGATGTGGACCCCTGGACTCAACTCACCAATGATCAATCACATTTGCAGAAATCGCCCAATGGCGCTCATGCATCAGAGCTATCGTCTTCAACGTGTAGGTACCCAGTTCTCGAACTAACCAGATGTGGCATCGCCTTTAAGGCTTGGTTGTACGTCCCGCACTTCCGTTTTCCGGTGATCTAAACTGTACCAGCTAGAACCAACATGCCAATGGTACACGGCTTATAGCTGATAAGTTGAACTGAGTTAAATTGAATTGACATGGAGCTCCTATCGATTTGGGCTCTGTACACAGTGACTTCATCCACCGGTAAGATAAGCAAATAACAGAGCTTATTAAAGGACAGTAAAGATTGATATGATGCAGGCGAAACCAAGGTTAATTATCAGTTTGTCGCTTTGGCATTCTTCGCTGCAATATCGATGTCGATTATCACTTCCTTAGCCATGATCAGTATTATTGTTATTTACAGTTATATCCGACCTACTGGCTGCATGTGAGCTTAGGACGCGATACTTTCACAGGGATCGAATGAAATCTCATCGTGTATGGCGGTTCGCATATCCACTGGAGAAATTTAAACTGTGAGTTACACTATTGGCAGAGTAATGTTTCTTTTTAGCCTAGACTGTGATGCGCCGCAGACACATCATTTACCCTATTCCATTTTCCGGCAGTTGATTTGTGATCAGCTTCTACATGATTGGGCTATGGCTTGGGAGGATAACAGATGCGTTTTACAGGACCAGTATACCGAAATTTCTAATTATGAGACGGTAATTTATTTTACTGTTTGGCATACCCACATCAGAACAATGTTGCGATCTTCAATGAACTATTGCACGCAATGCGTCAGCGAATCCAGCCATGGTCCAGCAGACAAGATTTGAATGTCGAGATCTCTGACGAATTTGTGTTGGTGAAGATGTCACCGAATCCGGACTTATGCCTGCTTGAAGTGATCAAATATTGTCCCGGAAAGTTGACAAACGATCGTAATAACTTACTTCTGCTAATGAAGGTTGGTCCTCTTTTGGTTACTGAAATCAACTAATGTCAGGTCTTAGTGGCCATCTCTCTACTACACCAACGACGGTTACCACATCTTGGACTTACCCTTGACAATATCTTTATTGGGGAGAATTATGAATGTTCGATTGGTGTTCCGGACCTTACACTTTTGTCCAAGCATCCTGTCGGGGATTATGAATCAAATTCGGCTCTCGAAGAACAGCAGACAGATCTAGGAAAACAACAGAATGAACTCGGTTACATGGCCAAGCTTTGGTGTATCAGAAAGGTAAGCTATGTGCCGTTCCGTTGAGACAGTTCATGGAATACTTCAGTTTGAAGAGCTTCACCACTTTACGGCGCCAGAAAGGTAGAAATACCTTTAGGTTTAAAAGCGAAACACTGGCTTGTATGTTTTTACTACAATTATCCATGTGGCCACATGAGTTTGCAAGAGCACGTCTTACGTGAATTCACCATGGTTCACATGGTGATCGCTCAAACTAAATGACGGCTAAGGGATGGTAAGGTTGCCAGTCTTCATTGTTTGTGTCATTTAACTTTTTTCAATAAAACCTAATTTTTCGCACGATTTGCTATGGACTAAAATAGTGTACCTCAAATTTAATGGATGGCTGTTGATCTGTTCACACAACTCATTTCATCACTCACCGAGGTATCACCATCAGCTGAATTCTTTATATCTTGAGCGACGATATGACATTTGGATTGGGTGATAAATTCCCTTCTGTCATTACTAACAGTCCATCACCAAAACTCCCTAGGCTGTTACTTGATCAACAGTCAACTCACCCGAGCTATCTTACTTAGCTGCATTGATTGCTGGCAGTAGATAGTCCGATCATTTCGTGTTTCTATGCGTTGATGCCCTAGTCAATTTGAGATTCAGTCTGGTCATCATTCGGATGCTACGTTAGTGAATACCGTTTAGGTTACTCAAAGGACATGGGTGATATCATTCGGTGCTGCATGTCATTCCTTGTTGTCCTAGGCCTTTTCAGGTTGGTGGAAACACTTTTGCCACGGAAAAACACTGGACAGAACTTCCTTAATGGAAGCTTTATTGTAGCGTGTTTCTTGGAGCATTTCGTAAAGTGCAAGAGGGCACTTTACTCGTTCCCTATAATACACACCTCCATTGTACTGTGGCGTTTGGAGGCATTGAAGAAGTTGTTTATTCCAATCGGTTATCGAATTCCTAAGCTGAACTGTTTCAGGAATACCGTTGTGCGCTGAAGGACACGCTCTCATTTTCTTAACCTTCCCTCCTAGTTAGTAATTCCCCCACGGTTGAGAATAGTCGCCTCGTTAATATCGCTTCGGTCAGGCCATTCTGCTTTCATGTTTTTGAACGAGAGGTTCTTTGTGATCGCTCTAAACTTATCTAAGTTTGAGTTTCCCGACACAGCCCTAATACCATCGACTACAACCATTTAATAATGTACATCATAACAAACTGAGAGATCGTGTTTGGTAGTAGGAACCTTCGGAAAACTGCAACTGTATTATCTCGTTAATCATTTACCGTATCCAACGCCTTCTTCCTTATTTTCGTTTCAACCTTCATCTGCTACAGATAACCAACTTTGATTATCTCATGTTCTTGAATCGCCTGGCGGGAAGGAAACTTGGGGATCCAAGCAACAGCGCAGTCTTGCCATGGGTAACCAGTTTTTCTTCCCCTGAAGGTGAATTGCGTGATTTGACAAAATCCAAATATCATCTTGCCAAGGGCGAAGATCAGCTCAACGCGAATTTCAAGGCGCATTGGACTGAAATTAGTAGTCTAGGACCTCTGTGCTCCACAAGTTCCGAATCACTAGTGGATGCAGGAATCAGCCACTTGTGGGAAGTCTTGGGTAGGTACTTGTCTGATTGAAATTTACTGCGTTCCCTCCACAGATTGCACACAGGATAACCCGTTATCGAACAAGGCAGGTCGCGGGACTGTGCAGTCAGCCGACCTAATGGCCCTGCAACCCGTCCGGTTATCTAATCCTTCGGGTGAATGTCAGCCAAGAACAGATTCACGACCAACTGACGAAACACCGAAACATCTGTTATTCCAGCCTCACCATTTGCTTGATATGATGCCCAATTTGGCTTACTACACATACACGGTAAATGCTAATGGTGCTATTTTGAACCCGTCTGTAATCACCTGGCTTTTTACCCTAACATTCAGTTCTTGACGTGACTCCCCTTGTCATTACCCCACTGTAATGCCTCATCCACGGTAATGTTAGACACAACTTAGTTTCGTTTGACTCCTCTTCTGGTTTTGTTAAGCTGAGCTAGGGTTACTTTTCTTAGTAAGTTTTGAGCACACGGTGATGCGAAAAACTGAGAAGGACGGCAGTTCTGCTCACTCCACATGATGGATATTATGGGTAGTTTTAATCTGTCTTTTCTACTGACTTTTTTCTGAATGTTTGAACGTCATAGTTACTGCGTTCTTTTAACCGATGCGTTTCCATGAAATTGCAAGTTCTACATTTACACAATCGAGCTCACAATCGTTCATTGTTTGTCGTTTCATTATTCACCAACTGACGATCTGCACACTCAAGTACACCTAAATAGACTGATATCCTTGAATGATTGGATTCGCTTCCGACAAACGTTAACTTCGCTGCTCTCATCCCACTTGCGTGAACAGACGCTGATAATTGCTCATACCAGGGTCATTTGGAATTCGTATTAATCTCCTTTAGAAAGGAACCGGATAAGAGTTTAACAGTTATCGGTTACAAAAGTTTTTTGCATTGGTTGACAGAATTTCCAGGGCGATTTTTCTCCTCGCCTTATCTTAATCCCCTCCCTCAATATGTTTTCCAGGCCCGTCGCACTCCCAAACAGACCCTCATGCAGTATGTGCGTCCTATATACCAACCGCACGAGTTCCCTTCCACTATGGCTCGTTTGTACGAAAGCACACCAGAAGAATGCATTCCGGAGTTTTTCACAGATCCTACCGTGTTCAAGTCTATTCACCCAGATATGCCTGATCTCGCTGTTCCTGCATGGTGTTCCACTCCTGAAGACTTCATTGCTTATCATCGTTCTGTTTTAGAAAGTGAAGCTGTTTCTTCCATGCTTCATCACTGGATCGATCTTACATTCGGGTATAAGGTGAGTCGTAGGCGATAGGTTGATAACCACTGTGTTCTTTGAGAGAAAATTGCGCCACTTGCGTGTAAACTGATACCCAAGCAGAAAAAACTCAAGAAAACTTGATAGGCTACACTTATGTGACGAAAACAAGAAGAGCGAAACTGGTTGCAGCTATCAAAGGGTTTCCAATGGCCTCATAACTGGCGTTATGTCAAAAGAAACCTTAGTTTTCACGTCTATTTTTAGCCACTATGCTTTGTCATTCCCGGTAAAACATGCCTCCGCAATGTGAATGAGAAATTTAGCATGTGCTTTCTGGGTAAAAAGATTGTCCAACTTCCATAACTCAGTAGTTACTTCGTTGTTTGTCCATATGCCACTGGGCCAACGCAGAACTTGAAGGCAAGAACCAACCAGTGGACCTACATTTCAGCTTATTCAGTTTTATGTAAAGTAAACATCATTCATCGATCCAGCTCACTGTAATGCACGCTTAGTTACTTGAATCATAAAGAAAGCTCATCGAGTACGATACAGATGTCTGTTCATAGGATTTCGTAATCGACGCAACGGGGTGCCAGTATATGTAGACAGTCAGGATTTCTGAATTCAAAGTGGTAGTAGGTGTCAGGTTCCGTTTGTGAGATAACTTTTATCAAGGGGAATGTAGTATCTCGACCGAACACACTATTTATCAGGTTGATGAAAACCCTTCGACAGCCCACGATCGGTTTCGTTTCTCCTGGTCCCTCCGGGTAGGCTCGGTCCCTGTAGACTGTCGAAGAGTTTTCGGCAACCCTATGAGTAGTGTGTTCCTCCACATCCGGAATATCGTTCCAACTGAAACATGAGGCGACTTTTGTGCAGCACACTCAGCTGAAGAATATCATAAAAGAGAGACTCGGCTTAGATTCATTTGAGACTCCCGTCAAAATCAAATTACTTTGCAAATGAGTTTTAGGAGGAAGATTCCATTAGAGCAAAAATTAGGAGAATTCAGTTTCGTTCTTGGGATTCATAACATCGAAACTTACCCCGTCGTACAAGAAGAATCAAATATTGTACAGAATAGTAAAATTATGTGGGTTTTTAGGAACATAACAGTACGGGTATGGGCGTTTTGAATTGCAGCTGGGGCTAGACACCTCAACAAAATGGGGTATTTGTTTATTCTTTTCTTGATAACAAGGCTTTCAAATAAATCACGGTGAAGCACGAGTGTTGAACACTGATGTCATGCTGTCGATGATGATTTGTTTCAAGTGAAAATATTGCGTATTAGCTTTGTGGTATTTAATTGCAGGTTGATTGTCATTTAACGTGTAAGGACCACTTTTGAGAAACACGAAATGTGATTTTTCATGAGGTAGTCTCCCATTAGAGACGTAGATTTCATGTAATCTTCCACAAGTAAGTAAATCCAGTGTCGTTCCCAGGTTGCCTTGGTCCCTTACAGTGATTCGTCGGATAAACATAGCCTCCTTCAAAACAACTTTTTTCGAGCCGCGCTGTGCCAGAAATGTTGGTTATGTTAGGAATGTTCCATTTTACTCTGCAGTTCTTGGGGGGAGATACCACGAAGGTGGTTTGGATCACGGCATGAAAATAGCGCGTCACTCGATGGAGGACATTCGACTGAAACTTGTCTGAGGATCTGCCTAATGAATACATGCATACGTGTGTTCTTCTGTTATCAGGATTTTGGTGGGACTTGCCTGATCAACCATAATGAAACCCCGGAGGAAATGTAGTCCATCAGTCTTACCTGTCTAGGCGTGACTCAGTCGATTTATAGTATAGTCTGTATGTTTACTATCAAACCGATGGTACTGTGGTTGTATGCGCTAGGATCGCAATGGCTTGGTTTTACGGGAATGTCTGGATTGGACGCCGGAGACAGACATGCCTGTGCATTCGTCATACAGGAACGAATTCAAACAAATGCGGACTTCTAAGAAATGTGAGAGGTGGTTAGCGTTTAAAAGAGGTTTATTTAGATATGGACTGTTACGTGCTTTTGAGACGTAGTTATCGGTAGCCATGAAACGCGTAAAGTATAAAAGCTGTTTGTCATGGAAGCACGGAACAACCGTCGATGACTTAGGGTTGTTGGCAAGGAGTTGTAACCAGTCCCTGTCTTTCTTGCTGGTGGAAAGATTTTCACCATGCGTTTAGGCAGTGTTTTTTATGGAAGCGGTCATAATTGTGGGATAGGCTTCCACCTATGTCATTGTGAAGAAGTGCCTTTATTCTGGCGAACCTAATATTAGTGTAATGCCCAGTGCCCTGGAGCAGCATCCAACCCTGTTGGGGATAACACTAGCCATGGTATATTTTAACTGGTACTCCCACATCCATTACAACCACCTGTCATATGCGAATGAATTCGCTCTGTCTTTTCAAATTTCAACAGCCTATTTCCGCTGTCTTTCTTTTTGTTTCTTCCGAAACCTTGTTTGTTAGCTCATCGGAGAGGCTGCTGTTGCGGCAAAAAATGTGCACCTGGAAATGGCAGGATCCCAAACCACTTTTCGACGATCAGGAGTCACATGTCTTTTCCGTACTCCACACCCCCATAGACTACCCCTTACACTCATTGACCGATACTTTGGCCCCACATGTCCTTTCTTGGATCGTTCAAAATCCCTCACAGAATCCCAAGATCACAACCCACCTTACCAACCAGATACCCAGAAAGTGAGTGAATTTTTCTCATGATATGCTCATTGTGTTCATCACTTTCATTTCACAGACGGAGCACCTATTTGGGATGTTTCAACTGTTCTCATGTGCTTGTCTTGCCACATATCCTCAACTCTTCGCGATTTGTTTTCATTTCGTTCAGTTTCTGAGTATTACTTGATATCGGCAAGCTGTAGTGTGAAGTGTCTATGTGTGGCCAGTGGTCTTCAAGTTGCTCATTTATTTGACATTCTTGGTTCAAGGAGTGACAGTTTAACCGAGGGTCTTGAAGTGGTGAGTACTACTTCGCTGTTGTAGATTGGACAGATGATAGCATAAGCTGTCTACCACTACGGCAACTCCTCACCAGACGCTGCAACTCTGGCGAATGAATATCAGATGCCTTCCATTCCATAACTCTTGTCCTGCCAAATTTGTAGAGATCGTCTACGTCAGCCCTGTTGTACGGATACTTTTAATATTATCACACTTACCTCGGAGCGAATAGTATAATTTATTCTAGGTTGTGAGCGAAATATACTCTCAATCACCCCTATTCACTCTAGCAAACAAGATATCTGTGTCCAAAATCTCCCTTTTGTGTGCTTCAATAGGATGTAGATTTAACTTATTCCGGGAAACATGTCAATTCCATGCATTTTTCTGTATTTTTCCTAGCCCCTCAACTCAATGAGTGAGGCTACCTTTGAGCCGGCGATTCACAACGATTACTGGTAAGTTGGCCACCTTTATGATAGTTTGGACTACCTGCTTCATATAATGCTTTCGATGACAGTCTCTGGAATATCTATAATCTTTTTATCTACCTCCACCGGTGTCTGAGACTGCATCGTCACTGTCATCACCTGTGAAGACCACGTACTTGCGGATTATAGCTATCACGATCTAGGGCGTAAATGGTTACCAATTGAAGGTGGTAGTCGATATCATTGAGACGTAATTACACTTCTCTAAACCCTGTAAATATTCTCCCAAGTGGCTTGTCCATGCCTCCCACCGTTCCTTTGCTCGCGTATATATATATATATATATATATGTACATATATATATATTATATATATATATAATTACGCTCAGTTCTCATTGTTGTTTGACAGCACAAGGGGCTACATTTACTTTCGCACTGCGTCAGTTTGTTGGACTGTTTTGACACTAAAACCCTCGGACCATCAAGCCGTACGGTGAGAATGTAGAGATAAAAATGGATTTCCTATGCTGTTCCGCGTCTAGGACTAAAACACTTAGGTTGTCTCTCCCGACAGCTCCTTCAGGGTGCGTGACCCGATATCAACTGAAATGTAGGTATGGGTGTGGGTCCGTTTTCGCTGTAATTGTTTGTCACTTTTCCGGTAAGAGCGTAATTTATGCATCTCCACTCCACTTGGAGTCATCGAGGGTTTTGTTCTCTCAGCTTCATTAGTCGTTTGGCTGATGCGAGGACGTACCTATGTATGAAGTCCCGTGAATGCACCCGCGCCTTTTCAACTTTCGAGTTTTTTTCTAGCTTCATAAATCAAGACAATCAAGATTCATTTACTGGTGATTTCGGTTACTTGCTTCGATCGACTGACGTCGCTATCCGTTTTCGCTCTCTATCTAGCCCACAGTTGCATCTTCCCAGTGAATATAATCCATTGGCCATGATCGAGATGTATGAAGAGTTGTGTCGATTTTTGGCGACTGAAACCCCTCTACCCCTCACACTAGAGTTACCAAAAAAGGTGGGTATCTTTGTCGATGTTTATTGCATTTTATATTTCTGCGTCCCTAGTTGCCATCGAGTGTATATTAAACGTGCCCCTCTTCCCATTTTCAAACTCTTTTTGACGCATGTAGCCAGCAAAACACAAACGGTCAGTATCTCTCAGGTCTCTGCTCAACTTCGACGTGGAAGCCATTGGATGTCTAACCGTTGAGTTGTTTACTCATTTGATGGTAAATTACAGTGAAGCTCAACGATGGACACATACCCAACGCCTTCAAATGGCGCGGTCAAATGCGCGACGCTATTGGGACAGAATTCCAAGGTATTTTGTTGACACTCGTTTTCTCACATGTGGACCGTTGCGTGCTTTTTTCATAGCATCTGTCGCTTGTGACAGGATGATTCAGTTTCCCGATTGCCATGCACCTTGTCTTCAGCAGAAATGCACCCACAAATACTGAATTTAGATTTCTGAATCACAAGGCTCAATCAACCGGATTCACAGATGATGTGTTCCTGATCAGGACCAACGGTATATGGGACAGTTCAATTCTAAATAACTTACTGTAAAGGCCTCAACCGAACACTATGGGAAGACTTTCCGAGTACAGTGAACAATAGAGCCCCACGAACTCTTCGAATTAAGTAGTGAACGACAATGGTTTGAAATCCCCAGTCAGAAAACTTCTCCTTTCACCTTGTTCGGGGCTCATCAGGTATGCGAAGTACCCGGAGGCAGAGGCAGTTAATCCCTCAGCACTTTGCTCGAGTTTCTACTCTAAGCCTCGTATGCATAAAGAAGTTGAGCTGGAGACTCCAGTGAGTCTCTCCTAATCAATAACAACTTGGTATTCTTTCACTTACTGTGCAGCACACAAGTTGCCCCGAGGTTCGCTTACTAGGGTCAGTGTCAACGCTGGTATTGCTGCCCAGGATGGTATCAAGATCTTCTAATTTTTTAGAATTCTTCATAAAGTCGGAATTTGGATAGCTTCATGACTGATTTTATAACCCACGGCCATCGATTTAGCCTCGGAGTTGAGCAGGATCACATAATGCATCCAATTGATTTGTTTCCAAATGACAGACAAATAGACTGCATATTCTGCTTTTGCATGTATTTCTAATTCTTTTTTTCTTAGCTGCCTACATAATGCACTTCGGATGATCCTGGATCCATTCGATGAATTAGGGAGCCTAAATACCTTTCAGAGACGCTTCCTACCAACCGCTCGTCAGCTGCTGCTCGTCGTATTTGAGTTTCCGCCATATATGTACGATGTTTGCACTGTACAACAGTGGGTAAGTCTAACACACTCCTATGATTGTTTTATTTGGGACAGTTGATATGGCACCGTTGAGAATTTTTGAGAGTGACAACTCGTGGTCGCATCATAAGCATGCAGCAGAAGTACATTCGAACTGGCTTAGAGGGTAATTCGAATATTCTTTTGGGATTTAATGCAAGCTACTTAAAGCTGCCATCTTGGCGTGGTGGTTGGACCTGAGTGCTGCAATGGTCCAGCCGGCTACACTAGCTGGAACTTAGTTCCTGTAGGTGAAATTACACCAGGAAAGCCGCAGGTGAGCTATTAAACCAAGAGCGCTGTGATCTCGTACCACGAACAATCGTGCTACGAGGCAGTCTGGAAGTGGTCGTACTGTTCTCTGCGATAGGAGTGTGAAGGCAGTAAGGCTTTTCTCCCTGGCGACCAGCAGGGAAGTAGCGATGCTGCCTTCCAAGTACGGATGGGTTCTAATAGGTCGACCCTAAAAACTGCACACACCGATCGCCCAACAGTTGACCGTGACCGCCGGAGCATCATTCAATAGGCTCGAAATACTTTTAAAACCAAAGAGTGCGCTGCTGCTCAAAAGTCACTTGCTGTGCGCAGCCGCATCAGGAATGAGACAGTAATGCCTTATTCCCTAAGCGCTCAGGTTAGGCCAACCCCACTCAACCGAACAGGTCAGATTATCAGGTCATCGGCTCCGGGAATGGCTCCCAAAGCAAATGCTACTGTCCGCTGCTTTGTGGGTCAGACTTTTGAGCTAAAGACTAACTGGGATGTATCGGCAGGGGTTCCACACCACAAACAGCCGGCGTGTTTTTATGTCGAGAGGTACAAATTGACGTGCATGCATTCAAACGGTTGCGTTCAACGCATAGCTTTCAATTCTGATCTCCTCAATGAAAAGCCCAATTAATCCTGGGTTCATACGTTAATTATCTCAGCCACTGTGTTCAGTACATCCCTCCCCACCCTAATCTGCCCAGATCACCGGTGAAGTAAACTGTAGAAGCTGTAGCCAATACACATCTGCGCGATTTACATCTGATGATGATGACACTCGAAATGATCCTCCATAGAGCAGTTGAGTCTGAACCCGTAGTGATAACCACTCGGTGAGGTACTGTTCTCCAGATGATGCAGAAAGTGGGCTGACAAGTGCCTCAGGGCTTCGGACAAGCTGAAGATGATAGAAACGGCAAAATAGCCGTCACAGTTTGGGTGGGATCTGCGCTTGGGAACTGGGAGAATATGGGTTAGTTTTCATCAAGGTGGGGAAACACGTGCAAAAAAGATCACACTAAAAATGCAAACATTAGAGATTAGTTTGAGGAGAACTTTTTGGAATAGAACAGGGGCGAATATTATCTGGACCAGGAGGCTTGAGAATATTATGTGCGGCGACTGCCGGATTCCCCATGTGAATACCACTCGGTGAGGTACTCATCTGCCTACCTGTTTGTTTTTATTAGAAGCGAGGTAATTTAGTTTTTATAGCGCCAATTTACTGACCTAAAGTTCCGGGGTTCGAACCTGATCTCTGTCAGTTCCTGCTGTCTAGTCTTGGGCAACCTATCGGTATCCCGTCCCTCGTGCTTCCTTCGGGTGGAGTGGCCGCTAATCCCCGGATGGGTGTTACAGTTAAATGATTATTTATGTATTATTCATCAGGGACCCTAATGAATTTTCCGTTATTATTATTTTTTATTTTTATTTTTGTACTTTATCGAAAGATATTATTTGTGGCGTATTTCAAGCGATTTTTGGCAGAAATAACTGAACCACGATTGATGAACTGGTCATACTCTATAGATTGTGCCGGCTTGGTTGCGTGCTTCGTATACCGGTCGACCGACTTTCTTGAGGAGCCTTTTTTTCACAACCACGCAAATGGTGGTAATGAGCCAGGGGAGGTCATATAATGACTTGGCAGCAAAGCATGAAAGCAGACCCACTAGTCATTGCCGTTTCCCTGAATGGGCCAACGGAGACGGGAGCTGTCAATGTGCGGAGACATTGTCACACAAGACCCAGTCACGCCCTTAATCTGGTGCACGTACTCAACACTTTCCGTTCAGCATATAGCTTCCCATTCCGATCTACCCAATCAACACCCAGAAGAGTATTGACCTTTCTTAATTATCCACTACTCCTCTTGTACTGTTCCAAGAACATCTGTCGCTTGCGTAAACTCTGTTGGGATCGACTTTTTTCTGCTTTCTTGTTATAGATGTGTTTCTACTATTCTACAGTAAAGGACGAAACCGGGTGTCTTGGTTGACAAGCAGCAGTAATCTGAATGGTGGTTTTTTGTTAATCTCGGTGCCAAACCATCTGCAAACTGCTATGGAGCCACCCGTTTCAAGCCCGGTCGGATTTTGTGGAAGCGTTTTTAGCTGGTCTGCACTTACCCGGGATTGATCTGTGGCGTTCTGAATAAGGTGCAAGGTGAACAACTGGAGAACTCACCTTGATACTGTTCTGGTTTCAAAATATGAGGTTTCTGTCAAAAACTTCTTAAGTTCGCTTTTTCTTTTCCATACTTGGACGCATCTTGAATGATACAGACTGTTTCTTACAGGGAGAATTACGATAACACACCTCTCTGATTTTGCAGTTATTCGTCACAAATTAGTTTCTTCTAAAGACTCAACCTGAAGAATAAACTAGACAAGCCATACTTTTCACTACATAAGAACACAAAATCTTGAACAAAAGCATCACACTTCAAGTTTCCTTTGGCTACACGTAACCAACTGAAGAAGAACCTCCCATTTGTGACAATAATTCTTTCTTTCTGATTTGCGATTGTAACTGTCTTTTTGTTTTCATGTCGAGCGGGTGGTTCATATCTTCGACACCTTTTCCATTTGTTCTTCTAGCTCACCGATCTTGCATCTAGCTGTGAATCAGCCTTACCCCGCAGATTCAGTCGGCTATGGGGACCCATATGTGCCGCCTTCTTCCTCCCATCCGATCAAGACAATCTTCCTTCTGTTTACTCCTATCATGTGCCACCGGAGGTTCTGGACCTACTCAACCCTCACCTACAGAAAGCTGTTCAAGCCTGTCCTTGGTGGTTGTATGGTTTGTTGCAGTCTGACCGACTGTTACGATTCTACACAGCAGTTGGCGGACTAAAGGTATTACTAACATGAATCATGTTATATTGAACTTATGTTACCGTCGCATATTGAGCTGAAGATTCTGGTATCATTAACTGTCTGTCGACATCCAGTTGGATGGTGCACACTGGCGAGTCTCACATGATCCGTAACCGATGATACACTAAAATATCTGAGGTTTATTTTTCAACTTTATTACCGGATAAATAAGTATGTAGGTTAACAAGAATGGGATCAATGGCCGATTTCAACAGGTCCATAGTAGAGTGAATCGATTACGTCCAGACGCAAATAGCGGATCTTTTCGTCAGACGGAATTGGGTTTTCTGTACCGGAAATTTTCGGATTCCGTTCTGTCTACAGTTTGGGTGTCTTCCCCACATCGCAAGTGGTCTAATGTAAAGATAACCATGACATCACTTTCTACGGGACGAGAACTTTCTACCGAATGCAACCGCTTCCAGACTCTTCGTGTATGCACAATAAATGTCGTGACGTTTTCTGGTGTTCTGATATTACTGGCTCAATTTTGCATGTATGCACATGAGCCATGGCTATAGGTTGCGTAAAATAAACCTTACTACGACCAAAAGTGGCTGAACTTGGTCGTGGATTCAATCGGCTGGTACCGCATAAATGATGACAGCCCATACTTCACAATTGAGACTAGAACGCTGAATTAACTCTTCTCTTGAACATGAAATCACAAAAAAACTGTACCATTCGAATTCGATCATCAGCCGTCCAAACTAGAATTCTCCAGAAAACATTAACCCTATACGCTCTATGTATTTCGCTAGAAATCGTTTGCAGGAGCAATGATAACACTGAAAATCTTATGCAGCAGTATGGAGCATGTTTCGCAGACTTCCCATAACGATCTTGTTCAGCTGTTCAAATCCGAATCCATCTTGTGGTGATAAACTGCAGCAAATATATGCAAACCGATACTCCTGAACAAAGTAGTTGAAATACATTCAGCCTTTATTCATACTAACCGTTTCGGTTCTGAATTGCCCATCAACTCCCCGGTCAACGCAGGTTTCACCATTACATGCTTCCTAGTATCACTTCGATTGACCTAAAAGTGATATTACCATCCGGCTAGAGAAGTTCAGGGCATATTTTGCCAGTATACGTGGCGTATGACATCAAAGGCCGGGTATATACTGCCGTAAGATGTTCCATGTTGTTATTTAGGTCAGCAGCCTGGCCGCTGTGAGCTGAAGACTCTCAGTCTTTGGCTGCCGAAGTCTTCAGAACATTGCCAGAATCTTGTGAGAACATCGAATCTGTACTGCTAGAGAACTTCGAGTGATTTTCGATGGAAATAACTCACTATGGGCAAGTTGATGACACTGCATCGGTTGCTCCGGATAACTGATAACTCGTTTAATATACCAGTGGATCGACTTTCTCGAAGTTCTTTCTTTGCGAAACCATGGGGATAGTGGAAACGACCTGACAGCAAAGCCAAAAAATAATTACCAGGAAACCCAGCTGCGCCAGTCATTACCATCTTCCTGGATGGGACCCCGAGACGAGACACAAATGGTCGAAGACATTGGCTAACACGTTGCGGTCACGTACTCAATGACGCGCATGTATCCAAGTTATAACCGTTTATATATAGGCTCCCTGGATTCGTCCGTCGACGACATCAGCTATTATGTTCCGTTTTTCAGGTCAGCGGTAGGTGTTATTACTGCAGAGAACAAGCGGTTTATAGCTGCTACTGATGATGGCAATAAAGAAAGGCTGCAACCCAGCCATGTGATCACATTCGGCCGCAATAGTCTTAGTAGATTGAACTCTTTCCTGCTCTTCCTTATGCTAACTTACAAACAAACATTCAGACCGTCGATTGAGATCGACAGTAAGACTGATAACGCTTCGGCTTTTCAGAATACCTCAATCCAACGGAGTAACTGGTTCCCTCATCCTTCGAGCCGGATAACACACCGCTCAACTTAGTGCGGGTGCCCTAGTTAAGGTTTCAATACTGAGGCATTTTTTAAACCCTCTATGTTTTTCCCGATTTTTCGGAAGCAAAGTTTGTTTATCAACTTCTTTATAACTTTGACAAGTTCATTTTCTTAACTTCTTCTTCATTGCATCCTTTTCAGGCCGTCGATAAATATTTGCTGCCCCTCATTATGGATTTGTACAAGCCCGAGATTATGAAAGATCTGGCTCGGCGATATACATCACAACATCCGGTTTCCGTACTGTGCTCGCGGCGTGTACTTCAGTGCTTACTTACTCACATGACTCCGACTTCTTTCCTGTCTCACCTGCCCGCATGTTTGGTGATGGGGATGTTGTGGGCCACAAATATCACAAATACTGCCAGTCCAGTTTTGGAGGAACAGCTCAACGTTTGCTTTGAACAGCGAAGTTCAGATCCTATCAGTGTATCCCTCAAATACAATAGGGACTTTCGTTCCACAGAACGAATGATTGAGGACTCCTCCCCATCACTGTCTTCACTGGACTACCCACCGCACACATTTCGCCCATCCAATTTGCCCGGTGACGTAGACGAAATCGGGTTGGATTTACGAAGTTTGGAAGCCGACTGTGAGTTGCTCGAATTGTTTCAAGGTCCCACTGAAAGTGAACACTGCCCACCGCCCTCACTGAATGGTCCACACAGCTCCAGGAATATCCAGTCAGTCGCCGGAGCGGATGTGAAGCCGAGCACGGAATGTCGCAAGTAATTATTAGATGATTATTCTGGGGTTGCAAATGCCATCCTACTATAAGTAATACATTTTCTTTTCTTGGTTATTATTTGTTAAGTGGATTTCGACCGCAGTTTGCTTTCGAAGTAAGGGTGTGTTTTTACAGCGTCCTGAAATTCAACGGAAATTTTAGCAGACCATTAAAAAAATGGGTGCTTTCGAGCAACGGTATCCACGAGATCTGTCCCATCCGGGAGAAGTCTACCATGGTTTATCTTTCATACTCAGTCAAGTCCATCGTTTCATCCACACAACCGACATTCTCCTCTGACTTTCAATAAACCCATATGTTGGAGCGGAACATTGCTGAAACTATTCACTTTGTTTAGTCAAGGTCATATTTTCATACTGTAATCCGAGTTTTATGTGGTTGCTTCCATATTGTTCGTACTGAAGCGTTTAGCATGGGACATACACTCGTGTGCCCGCTTGAAACCTAATGGAAGTAACTTTAGGCGTGGTTATAATCGCACTCCTTCGGATTTCAGGATCACCAATTCGATCTCGGAATACGATTACGAACTGAATCAGTTTCTATTAGCTCTGGCAATATTCGGCGCGCACCGCTCCTGTCACCTCCAGCCAAACCCGATTACGCCTATCAGTCGGACGTGCTTGTTTGACATCCTCGCTAACAGACTTCTTTGCTTTTGGGTGCCAAGGGAGCTGATATAAATTTCAGAAGCTCTCTACACTGTCCATTGCGAGCAGTGTGGTACTAATCTTCCTGGACATTGTTGATTCTCCTCCCGAGTGACCTAGTTCGTGTGCCATAAATTTATTTGAACAGCACCATAGGTCTTGTGTGTGCGATCCTTCTCACTAGATGGAAATTAACGTCGTCAGTTTCTGGTTTATTCGTTTGCGTTCGTTCTTGTTCATCTGTACAGTCTACGGCAATGTTGTCAATCAGCTACCCACCAAACAAATGGCAGTTTATGCATTTTCATTGAAGTATACACTGCAACAACTGATCAGGCACTAACTCACTAATTCGAAAGCCGTAGTGTGAACAGTTTAAGCCCCATCATGAATATCCTTGCACGCGCTTCTGACGTCATAGTCTTTAAAAGGCTATATGCTGAGAAATCCGTAGACCTGGGTCGACGCTCTCCCTGTTTTCCGAATCCTTTGGTCACCTCCTTCCGTGGTAGTTTCCTCTAGGCAATCTCATGCCGAGGGCTAATATATGTGGAAGTTGGGACCAGATCTCTGACCAACATACCGTGTAGTTCAGAGTGCACATTCATGTTCGTCTGTAAGTCTGTCTCTTTATATGCACTGCGTTTCATCCCAATGACACAGAACATCAGTTCATAAAGATTGGCAGTCGCTGACGGATCTTGAGCCTCCAGTGACAATAGGAATGGCAGAGAACGACGTCGGAAGTCTACCCCCGTCCACATTAGACAATGTTCACACCTCATCCACAGGCGCCGATCTGGCTACTTCTGTAAAATCACGCAACAGTTTCGTTCCACCAGTTGCTGTTGCGACTGGCAGTGTCATTTGGCTGGCCAGACGCATCGGACCAATATTGACTGCCAGGCATGTTGTCCCTCACCTGCTTGCGGCTATTGCTGTTGCTTACTCGGTAAGTATTTAGAATTTCTCGATCTTTTGCTTAACCCTATGCTGGTTACACTACTCTTCATGTGTAGCACCACTCCGAGAAAATGGACAATCTGTGGTGTTTTTTGTTTGCACGCAGAATAACTTTGCGAGGGAGTTCTCAGAACTGTTCGAATGCGTGCCTCATTCAGAAATCATTATGCTTCTGGTTCCGAAGTCCTTCCACCTTCTCTGTTGAACGGTGAATTCTTCAGTTAGTGCGTGTCTAGCTTTCCCCCTTCTATCCGCAATAGACCGTTTCAGACGACTGATGTCAGTCAATAACAATGCCCATCATCCAAAAGAGTACTTACAATTCGTGTAGTTACCACAGAACTAATGGTTTAAATCCCGTTGTAGAAAGGCTTCTGGCTTCACTGGTTCCTCATGGTCTTAAGGTGACATATGAAGCCCTAACTTGTGAACGTCAGGTGGGTCAGGGACTACCAACCACATCTTCACCTCAGATGTTGGGGCAGTGTCACGTATACAAACAATTTTGGTGTTCGTTGGCTTCAAGGATCCGTTCGATTCTACAGATACGTCAGTGCTTCAAACCACACTTGCTTAGCAGGGCATATCCCAGAGTTTCGTGTGCATAGTCTAGGCATGTGAGTGTATGGTGATCCCTAAAAATCTTTGGAGCCAGTCAGTCGGTTTATCAGCTATAAACTAAGGATACGTTGGTTTCAGCTGCCACAGTTTCGGTCACTCAAAAATGGAACAGCAGGGTGGATAAAGCCAAACATTGGAGGCGATAGTATGATCGCTTACTTCGGGAAAGATACGCATTGAAGGCGATAGCTTTGATGTACAAGCGCCACTGACCGCATGTCTAAACTATAATTGTATAGACTTAGACAGTCGTGTAGTATCTGAACCATCGTGGTTCTTTTGGGGGGCATGACAGCTGTTCACCAGAAGGGTACCACAGCTGAACGGTTTCATCATATTTCATCCCACTGCGAGATTTTGCCGTGTCTACCAGAGTCATGAACCACTGCGGAGTTGAACCACGGGTTTCTCATCCAGGGAGGTGGCGGTTATCAACTGAAGTGAATTTACTGGCTAGCATTTCCCTACCTCGTTGGCAGATCATAAACTGTTCACCTCTTGATCGATTCCACTCAGAGCGCAAAAGAGTTCTGTGAGAGAGACGATCTTCTGGCATACGAAGTACATATCCTAGCCAGCGTAATCTATGAAGTGTGAGTAACTCATACGTCGTAAAAAATGTCTTTTTTCCTAAAAGTGTCTGGCGTATCACAGGACCGCTGATCCGATGTTTCCGTCATACCCGGCCAATGTTTCGCGGGACACCGATAGTCAAACATTGACAGCCTTCGTATGTCATCTGCGCGTAGACTACGTATGTGATCCATTAAAGACTTATGGATCTCATCACCCTTGACAGACAAACTGACTTCACGCCGGGGCGATGGGTGTCGGAGGCTGGTAAACGCTGTCCTGGCCTTCCCGTTTCAAGTAATCTCGTTTTCAGCCGGTACGTCAGAACGTATACGAATGACCGCGTAAACAAATCCATCTGCCAGGATAGTTGACTGGTCTAGAAGCACGAGTTTTTAGGTTTTATCTCACCCGGTCTTGTCGCGGCACTTTGAACTTTGCACGCATGAGGCGCATACCAAATCGTGCGGCGGAATTATTTAGGCCACTGCTTCAAAGGATCTGAGCGAAGGAGAGCAATATCGTCCGCATACTCACCGCCTGTAAGCGAACGTCCCTGGAGCATTCGACCCTCGAGGTTTCGAAGGCAGACACGAGAATTTCAAGTGGCAAATCACTAACAAAGCTGGACAGGGTTGGTGAGGGAGGGAAGCTTTGTCTGGACATAGTGAACTCCGGCGTAAATTTGCTGTATGCGCGTACGCGTCCACAGGAGTTCGTTTACACTGCCCTCATAAGGGACATAAATTTAGGCGGGTCTCTTGATAGCCAAACGTTTTGATTATCGACTAGTCAAAAGCAGCTTTCAGACCAAGAAAAACGACAATTTTGGGACGTTTGAAAGAGGGTTACTGTTCAGGAGCGTGTCTCTGAGTAAAGAAATGATATATGCATCCTCGGCCAGAGCGACACCTAGCTTGATTCTCACGAGTTCGTTTTTCCCGATAATCAGTCGAGCCACGCAAACTAATGCCTTGGCTGTGATGGATACCAGGCTGACGCCACGACGGTTTTCGCATGACGTTCATCATCCCTTTGAGGACTGGAGTAACTGTCGAGGCGCTCCTTTTCATTGGTATTATGTTTTCTCTGCAAATTCTTCGTAGTAGCGTCGTTAGACTGTAAACTCGGCTGTAAACTATTCGGACCGGGTGCCTTGTTACGCTGGATTTCTGTTGTTGACGGTAGGATGGTGTCAATGTTCCATTCATGCTCGTGTTTTTTCCAAAGTCTGTGTTGAATGAGGCTACCTGAACGCAATGTTTTGAACTCATTTGTAAGGACATGGATCAAACGTTTTGAGTTTAGTAAAGGATGATTTTGGTTCGGTTTGGGTCGCTTGGAAACAGTTTAGACACGGAACTATGGTTAGAGAACTAGCAGATGGGTTGACCGCTGTGCATGATCCTACGGGTACGGAAGTGGTTGTGGATGGCATCTGGTGAACGAAGGGGTGTGAGGGCAAATGATACTTCCCGGTTGCCAAAGCCGAGGAAGAGTATTTGGTTGATGTACCCCACACTCTGACTTAAGAATCTGGCACACAACCAGTGGGCGGATGCTAAGGTTCTGTTCGATGGCCCTTCTGCTAGCCTCGGGTTTGAAAGCTTGAACCGCAATACAACGATTGTTATGGCTTTCTTGGGGGATCTCTCGAATAACGATTAACTCGACGGTCTGACTCACTTGTGTGCAGATGGCTGGTCTGGTCCGAGCACGCATGGCGTAATTCTTAACTGTCTTTCTCCCAATGCGGCTGCGCACAGTAGGGCAGCACCAGACTTTAAAAGTCTCTAAGAGTATTTCCACTGTACTGAATAATGCACCTGTAGTCACGGCCAACCGTTGGGTGATCGGTGTGTGCGGTTTTTCGGGCGGACCTCAATAGAAGGCAACACTGCTGGTTCCATAAATATAGACATACTGGCTTCCCGAAGGAAACACTTTACTAGCCTCACACTCCCATTGTAGAAGACAGGAAGGCTATCCCAGAACTGCCTCGTAATACGTTTTCTCTCAGTAAGGTGCTCGTTGTTTTTCATCAGGCTAGTCCGATATGGCTTTCTTGTCATGGTTGAGTCATTAGGGACCGATTTCCCCCCAAAGTAGCTCGCAGGATGACTGCATCACCGAAGTTCAACCACCACGACAAGGTGACAGCTTTTGGTTGGTAATTCCTGACAATCTATGTCGTGCTTCTATAGGAGGAAGCAGCGGGGTTTTTTCTTCCATGTATTTTTTTATCCGTCGTTCGCTTCGGACTACATGTGGCTCTAACTGCCCTCACCTTGCTCCGCAACCATTATAGACTGAAGCACTTTTTCCTTCATATGTGGAGAACTTGAAATATCCGCCCCGGTACTGATACCTAGTGGTTTCTCAGTAGTTTGGCTAAACTCAGCAACATCAACTTGAACATGCAGCTATAAACAGAAGATAGCCAAGCTGTCAAATGCCACTTTCACGTTCAGTCTGCTCATCCAATAAGGAATCACCAGTATAGATCAAGAGAAATATTCATCTGTATTCCGAAGTTTCGTACACAGTCAACCGAGAGAAAAGAAGTTACTGGCACAAGTATTTGAGGTCAGCTCACAGAAATAAATATTAATATATGAACCTATCCACCAGATTGCAAGAATAGAACTGTTCAAGCGATAGATGTAAGCACAAATTCTGCAGATCCTATGACCACCTAAAATTGAACGAATACTCCAAAAATACACCCATTTTCACACCAATTTAGTTTTCACGAGAAAATCATCTGAATCTCTTGTTTCTGAGGTTCTTCACTAAATATCGTTTCAAGGTTGCTCCTGGCGCCACCAGCATAGGAAGTCATGACATTGGAGTCGATCCCTCAAGCGTCGAAACGTGATCCTGTTCAGAGGTGACAACTCACGTGCATCCAGTGAGCGCTTACCTCGTATGTCAGATCCTGGCATGACCGGGGAGTATCCATCGCTTCCACTGTCTAGTGTGAACTAACCAAAGTAATCGCGTCACGACATGAAGGAACTATTCAACCGAGAATGCACCTCAAAATCCCACGACCACCGGCAAATTCTGGCAATCCAAATAATCGGTTTCTATCCTCTGCTCGCTGTAATAAGAATATAAGAGCAAACCAGGGGGTTGACTGGATTGTTGTCCACAAAATACAAGGTCACCGTTGCAGAAAACATTTTAAATCGCACAAGGAGGCCATTGCCATGCGTTCAGTATTTTTGGAAATGGAGTGGTTTTTTTTTGGAAAATACCAAAAACCACGGTCGTGAGTTTCGATCATAGTAGTCTCGATATTCATTCGATGTAGTGCATACCCTTGGTTCACAGTTAGACCGGTGACAACCTGTTGCCACTCACTGTTTTCTGCGTGGTGAACATCAAACATTTCGTAGTAGTCAAAGTGGCTGCTTTGGTTATTCGCCACTTAATTTCTCATCTGTGGACTGATTTCCTTAAATATCGTGTTAGGGCTGCAACGATCAGTCAAGAAACGTTATTTTCACACGCAAAATTGTAGAAAGGTTTGTGACTGTTCTCAGTTCCAGTCACATATTCGAAGACCAAACCACTGGGAGACAATTTCCGGAATGGTTCACGGTCACAGCGATCCTCCGAGGCCAACCGAAAGTAGTCCGGTTAATTTCGAGAAGTGCTCTCCCACTTTCTGGCCCTTCAAAGCCCTCTTTTGAAGTTATAGTCAATTCAGTAATCTCCTTACAGCAGAACAAAATATACTCACAAAATTCTTGCTTACCGAGCTGTATTTTGAGTTTTCGTGTTAAGTGAGTGGGCTCGAACTCCTGGGCAGAGTTCTTGTAAACCTTCAGTTGGATGGCCAAAGCGATACGAGTTGATATGATCAACTGTTTCTGGCGACGTTTATACGTACTTTTAAGAACACTGAGAAGTTCAACTTCTCTAGCTTAGTGTAATTACATGCTCACGATGCAGCCCACGAGACGGTCAATCCTACACATATCTGTGGATCAAGTCATTTCTCTTATCGGGTATTCCGTCTTGCACACAATGACAACAAGTGATGTTTGAAAGTTTTTTGTCGATACTTTCTTATCAAATGACCTCCTTATTTATTTGCTTCAACTCCAACGCAGACTTTCACCACCCTCCGTTCTTTTTATCCCTCAGGGTGAGCAGTTAATGGCTACTGTAACCCCTGTGACATCCGCTCCAGCGCAGCCAGGTGCTTCTGGCAAAAGTCATCTTCCTATGTCAGTTCAAGTTACGAATCGCCCACTTATGGGTGATAGCGTTGCAGCCGCAAGCCTACGCTGTCTAGAGAACTTGGTCCACGTGTACGGCGTCTGTCTGGCATTGCACGTCTATATACCCTACGCACAACGCACCGTCAATACCGTTCTTGCAACTGTTGGTTCACCTGCATGGAAGGCTCCTGAGGACGAACAACCAAGCGTGGCAAATCCGTGCTCTAGTGTACCGCCATCGAGATGGAATGTGCGCACTTTGGGCGAGCTAGTTGCATCGCTGACGCTGTTGCATCAATTCCTCGCGTACATTCCGGACTTGACATTGTCAGACTACTTGAGAGTACGTCTTCATCTTTCTCTGATCTGGTACAGTCAATGATTGCTCGTGTGTTGTAGTCCATAGAGCTGATCGGCTTTGGTTCTGCGCGAATTTTAATAAAATGTTGTGATAGTTGATGGACAGACTGTGGCAACTCTCGCAACATTGTGTTGTCAACCTATATTAGAAGAGTTTGTAATCAGATGATAACTGCAACGTCCTGTGATTATTTGGCTCCATCACCCTAGAGGATTACCTTTATTTTCAGTTCTCCGCTCAATGCCATTCGTTTGCAGTGCGCGACAGAACTCTACATTTTGGAATCTTCACTCGTTGATCGTAGTGGAAATTGCATTCACTAATTCTCTATAGGTATATTCTCCCTGAAGAGAGATCATTCCATAGGGCAATTCAAAGAAACTGTTCTTCACTGTCGTCTTTGGCAGATAACTGGCACGAGCCCAGCATAAAACAGTCGACAAACTCTAGTGAGACAATGCAGCCAGTAAGTCACAGGACGCTTACCGCATTACATTCAATGTGCTGTTGACAGAATCACGTGAACCCTAACCAATGAGGTGCGAAAATTCCGTAGAAAAAATTCCATGCATGTACATGTCTGATACATGTTCCACCCGCCTCAAAATGACAGGCTTTATTCGCTCCTCTACTGTATCTGATCTGTTACGAACTAGTCGCTTGCGTGCTATTTCGTCGCAGACATGTTGCGGCCGGTTAGTCCGTGCTATGATACGAATTCACCTTTGGTCAGATAGTTGATGACAGGATAGAAGTGAATGATCACCCAAATCAAGGTAGGTTTCAGGTTACTTTCTGCTAAGGTGTACATTTCCCGGAACTGTAAGCTTGTCCTGTCTCACAGCATGTCGACAGTTTGACCGTGGAATTATTGAGTTCCGGGATGGCAACTGATTCTCGCATTGCAGTTGTTGTCAGGTTGGTTTTTAGCCGACCAATCAAGATTCTACCAGTTCTTGTCACTAGTCGGTATTGGGTTTAAATTTCGACATTGCTCATGCGATGATTAATTTGGATATCAATGAAGATTCCGATTGAGACGCTTCAAAAGCCTATTTTCGAACAAGCGTTAAACCACAATTAGTATTATCAGCGCCATCCAGGCTACCGGGCACCTCAAACAGTTTTTCTTGAAGCGAAAACGATAATCTTGAAAAGTACTAGTATTTGCTATCAGTCTCATGGTTTTCGCATCTGGAGGCAAACTTAGTCGAAGATATATTGCTTTCAAAAAATTGGATTTTAGGACTGACCTCTCGTTTCGTACCTTTTCTAGCTGGCTCCTGTGGACCGCTTCGTTATCCAATGTTTCATTAACTTGACCTCACCTGTTTGATTAAAGTGGCCGCCCTTCATATGTGACGATGATTATTAGTCAATACCTGTTCCCTTTGTCTAGGATTCAACGCTACAAGACATACTGCACAAGTCTATTAGAATATCTGGTCGTCTGGATAGCCCGTTTCCTTGCGGTTCTGTCGGTCGGTTGGCGGTTTTGTATCGAGTTATCGATTGCATTTACGTTGTGGGGATGCGGGTCGGTTTTGAAATGACAAGGACACACATGACCTCATTATTTCAAGTGTTCTTCGCACTATTTGATCGGGTCGCAGCATTGAACGAACAAGAAAAGACTCGGATGCCCTCCAGAGGTAACTCACTAGCCTGATATCGAATGATTTGAAAGCTATTATGGCACTTTTCAAATTGGGTTTTTACTTGGTTATGTGGCATTAAACTAACCACGCTTGCGTTACACTCTGTGAACCTTGGTAAAGAGTATCGCATACGAAGATATCAATTCTGTTTGTTAATCCTGCCATATCCGATCTTAGCTGGCGCTCTCGCCCATCATTTATGATCATGTAGTGTTCAGCTCTCATGTGTGATATCAAACAGTGGTTTGCATACAGAAGCAACTAACCAGTCACACTGCTCGACAGGTGAACTTGTCCATCTTATGGGCAGATAGGTGCCAATGGTCGTGTTGGAAATGGTGGATGAACCCAGGTTGTTGAAATGGTTGTCCATACCTGCCACCATAAATGATAGAGACACCATCTAGCACAAAATCGTGACACGAAACCCATGGTGACTTGACGTATCTTGCAGCTTTACAGTCCCACTTGGAACCAAATTAACCGAAACGCGTTCTCTGTAACGTTAGGTGACTGGCGATAACTTATTTAGTGTCGAAGAATACTACTTTCATAGTCCTAACGTTTTGCTCGCAAAGTATTATCCACACTCTTAATGTTGAGTTCTCGTAGTTAGGTACACACCGGAACTGCAAGTTTTTTGCGTCCACGTAATGTATGAACGGACATCTATAGTACGGGGTGCTCATATTATTCGAACTGGGCCCTAATCATCACGTTTCTTCTGTCCAATTGTCGCAGTACATGTGCTGTTTTGGTCCGGCTTAGGATGGTTCATTCTCTACCTGATGTGCTCTTCTGTTCCTGGCCATCCCGGTGAACCGGTGACTTATTTAGCAGGTTCGGTAAACTTCCATCCTTTTCAGTTTGCTTGTGTTGCTTTGGGTAGAATTGCGAAAATGTGTAGGTTCCCTTGAGCGCTCGTTTGTTACGTAACTTTCTGTCAATATCTCTTTAACAGTATCTCCTCATCTCTATCCGCAGGAATTGTGTGGTCTGAAAACTGGACTGCGCCCATTTCAAGCATTCCTGACAATTTTCTGGTCGTTGGTTCTGCTCTTAACCATTTCTTCTGCCAAATGATTGACCTCCTTACCGTTTGAGATACCAAGTCATTATTCACACGATTCTCATGTGGTTATTGGTCTAGCTGAAATTTGTTGTTTTTCTGATTCATTATTACCACTCTTAATCAGCTGATCAGCTGAAAGTTTGCAAAGAAGTGGTTAAATGCGACAAAACATCCCTTTTCAAGTCAGGGCAAGTCTAATGTACCACCAGTTGATTGAATTTCATCACTAATTTAGCCAGTATTCGTTTTTGTAATGTGGGTGGATTTTATCGTGCTGACTCAGCGGTCGGTGTTTCCGTCAGTTCCGTTTGTCAATGAAGGCGATTGTTCCCTTTTCAGTCGTCCATTCTTTTTCAGAAACCACTATCGAGCAATCGAACAACGAGTCCTCCTGCACCACTGGCGACTTTGAAAGTATCGGTGATACCGGGACCGATCAGTTCCCTTCTGCACCATCAAACGATCTTCCACCCAAACTGAATCCAGACGTACTGATGGAGCTCTGTGCAACCTTCACAAATGATCTAGCTCGTCTAGCTTACATTCCGTTTTGTTGTCTTGCGGGTATGTTTTGTTTGTGTCTACACTGATATATTCATTACTCTACTCTACTCACTGTGCCCATCGTTCTAACCCGTTGCGGCCCTCCCCTTTATCATTCTTATCTAGGCGGTGCTTTCGTTGACACATGCATATACAATACTGGTTGGATCCAGGAGCTAGTTCGTTCACAACCTGTCAGCCAACAGCACGGCTCTGCGCACCAGCTGTTATTAGCCACACAGCCCCCTCTTCAGGATGGTCCAGTTAACCCAGGAAACACAACTCCGCCAATTCAACAGGCGGCTAATGTAATACAAGATCTCAACCTGGTATGTAAATAAGCGTTTTGTTCCAACCCTCTTCTGTTTGGTTATCCTTCACCAAATATCACGAAAGTTCACATGACAGTATCGAGGAGCTAACCGGCGTTTAATCTCTGGACAGAAATAAGTCATTTTCAAAACCAGGCCAACCACAAATAGTAGGCCGAACATTCTCTTTCAATATCTTCTGCACTGTTCTGAAAATGTATTGAACCTATCCTGCTAGCTTGCGCTTTCGGATAAATCGTATACGGAACGTTGGGCATGTGAAATAGCGATAAAGCGTGATGTGCGAAACCGGTATATAGTACTAACCGTTTTAAGAGGCAGTTTTTCCTGGCGAACGATACTCATAAGACTGCTGAATACTCGGCTGCCAATGACAGTTTTGCCCTTATTAGGGTTCATCAGGTAGGTGCAGTTGATGGACAGATAGTCATTCAGCCGTAACATCCTTTCGGTACCTAGCTGCATTGCCAACGGAAGGAGGCATGAGGGCTGGAATACTACCAGGTCCCCAAGTCTAGACAGGAGCAGTCAAAGTGCTAGGGTTGGTTTCTAACAGCGGACCTTCCGGCCCGTAAGCTGGTACCTTAACCACTGTGCTATCTCGAGCCCTCCGTCCACCTTATGTTCTGCTTGAAAATCATTAACACTAGACTCAGCTGAGTTCAGTTGAGTCTTCCGCTAAAACGAAATTAGGTTGCAACTGTGTGTATCTCACAAAACTAGACAGGTCTTCTGTGGTTGCTTCCTCCCATCTTTCTTCTCCTACTCCTGAGTCCAGGTGGCTGTTCACCCACAGCGATCAGCACACCATGTTTTGAAGAGTCGGCTTACCCCGCTGAATGTGGTTGGAAATTCAAATCGCTTGATGAGATTCAACGACAAGGGTTTAAAGAGGTGCCTACGAATAGGGTTAATCTTATCAGGGTTCACTAGCGAAGGTAACGGTCTTCCATACCGTCCCCGCTACATTATAGATAGCATTCCGCTGTGTGTGGGCTACCGCGGCACTGGAAACTCTATCCACGATCATTTCCTCTTTGCTGCGCCAAGTTGCTTTTTTGTACGCCGCTGAGGTATCAAAACGAGAATTCGAGGTTGTACGAACTCTATTCTTGCTGTGTTCGCTAAATCTGGATGAAATCTGGTGACGTCTCCTAATGTTAAATCCACACAGGCGGCTCATCCTCACATGGGCAATACGCATAATAGCGTCTCACAAAGTTCATCCATGCCAGTTTGTTAATTCAGTTTTCAGGGTAGAGGAGGTCCAAGAGGAGATTTCACATGCTCCAATTTTCATCTGTTTCTTGGACAAAGGGTTAAAGTCACCTTGAGTGCCCTGTGTTTTCTTCCGATAATTAGTTCAATCCCTTGCATACACCTTTCCTTCCTAAGAAGAGACGTCGTAAGAACAGTTGTTCTTTGGTCTCCCCTTGGAGAGAGGCAGTTAACAAAGGGGGCACTGTCTTTTGCTTATTCAGTGCGAGGCCCTTCCTGATTAGATTAATATCCTTCAATTACTTTTTTATACTTTGTTTTAGTTGGCTGGTTCTGTTTTTCACGGCGATGCTGCATACCGTTTGCGTGGCTCATGGTCCGATGTCTTTCAACAGATAACGCACGATGAAGACGCTTTACGATGCGGCTCTGTTCATTATCACGGTTTTCGACTCGCATCTTTCGCAGGTTTGTTTCTTTTCCTGTAATTCCTCTTTGCCTTCCTCTGACGCAACAAAAGCTGACTAGGAGCGCCAACACTTTTCTATATGCTAGGTGTCCACATCGCTAGGAAACGTACATAGAAAGTGCATTTCAACAATGCGCTTAGTACAACTTACGGGCACTGAGTCAGAACATAATAGTTAGTGACAACCGGGCAAACTGTGGCGTTTGTGTATAGCGCTTTTTGGCACAAAGCGCAAGAACGTAAATCGGGATATCAGCCACCTTCGCAGAGGTCGTACCTGTAGCCCTAATCATCGATTGCCTTTATGGTCAAAGACTTATTTTCGAGTTTGATAATGCAACTAGTGTTTTCTGATCTGTGTGAGGCTACAGGCTATTCCAGAAGGCGATTAACATGTGAATATATCATTTTGGACGCTCTGGAGTAACCCTGCGGACAGTAGTACTTTTCGTAATGTTCACATCTCAATAAACTGGTTGACAGAGTAAAGTTGGGAAGGCAACGTTTTCAGTCAGGTGCGTGTCGAATCCGAACGTGCTGCTTCAGTTATGACCACTGCACCAAGTACGCTAATTCGCAACGCCTGTCATCCAGTGTTGTTTGGCTACACAATGGCTGTTTAACGCGCCTCCACTTTTGACGGTGACTTGACACTAATAATAGGAACCTGATTTAAATAGTTGGATTCTGTGGACAGTGAATTGCCCGTGTTTCAAGCTGAGGAGCGGGATTCAAGATTTCATGTGTGGACGTCACCATCCCCCCGCCCAGCTCAATGTCCGTTTCGCAAGCATGTTGCAAACAGAAACAAAACACCTAGCTCGTATTTGTTATTAGGTATGATATTAAGATGGGGTTCATGTTTTTAGTGATGCTCTCAGTGAATGTCTGTGGATAAGCCTTGTTTCAATATCCCCGACAGAAGGCACTCTTAGGTCATAATTCTCCCCCACTTTATTCCAAAAACATCTCAGTCTCACTGCGTCAGAGGAAGAAATTTGAAGGATTGACATACCTTAGGCGTAACTTGACGAACTTTGCTACATTGTTCTGATCTGCCTCAAACTGGGCAAAAAGCGTAGTGAGTTACTCGGCTCCCAGCCTACTGATTTTTCTAAAATACGCTACTGACGGAAAAAAATCCCTGACACTTCTGTACACAGTCGAAGAGTGCTTTCGTTTTAGAATCCACTGACCAGATATGTATCCCTGTTTTTCTGAATTTATACTATTTTTGCGCATTCGTTGTGTGACACAGCTTATCGGAATTCTGTTCCTTTTTCTCATTCTACTTTAGGTCACAATGGTCGTATCAATTCTATCGATCTCATGAGCATGGAAAACGGCTTTGTGACGGCATCGCAAGACCGCACTGTACAACTTTGGTCCCTGTCCGATTCATATAGTACTGCTCATCCTTCAGCGAGATCGCCCCTGACTAACGCCCCGGGTGCATTTAAATCACTTTCCTCTGCTACCGCCTTTACAGGTGGTACCTCAGGCTTGCAAGGGTTTCTCACCCAGACTAGCAGTGGCCGCGACACACCAAATGACCAAACCAATACTCCTATGGTCCCAGTGGCTGCACGTTTAGTCTACCGTGGACACAAAAGGCCTGTCTTCAAGGCCGTTTATTTGGATAACTATCGACTGATGGCTTCGTGTGATGGTCACCTAATTCTGTGGGATCCGTGGACAGGGCAAAAGGTACAAGTATAAATAAATTGCAGCTACAACCCATACATGTGTGTGACACCCTGATGTTCATTCTGAGATTTTTTATTCCGATAACATATGGTGTATTAATCATTCTGAGCTACCTTTTCCTAATTATCCATACTACAGTTCAACCCAGTGGTGTCTACTCTCAGGTAGCCGACGAATAGCATCACGAGCCGAATATTGGTTATGCCTGCATGCTGTTCTGCTAGTAGCAGTCGCTTGGCATATTTGTATATAACGAATCGACATCGAAACTTACAAAAGTGTCATATGGTCCCACGGTGACATCGGCTTCTTTGTTGACAGTCACATGATCTCTTAATTTTCCGGTGAGGGGTTTAAACTACCTGTCAAGAATCTGTCCAGTTCATGGGATCGAGAACCTACTACTACCGGTTTTACTGAGACATTGCTCACGGATTTTTTGGTAAGCTCTAGAGCCGTGATTGGATTGCACTTTTGGAGTACAATCGATGCAAATTACCCTGCCCTTAGTGGTTTATCCCGGACCGCAAATACCTGCCAACTTCAACTTCACTCCTATTCATTATAGACGTAACGTGCCCACTATCAATCTGCCGGTAAGGACCCCTACCTAAATGTTACTTGACCTTCTTTAGACAATCACTCTTGTTTATAACAACAATGTTTTTACCCTTATCCACTTTTGTTATCACTGCGTTGTGCACCTGTATTATGGTGTCTAACGCTCTTCGCTCTGCTGGTGTAATATTTGAAGCTCTGGACTGCTGTGACTAGCTGTACCCGTAGCTTCTCCGTCTCCATTGGCGGAAGTTTTTGAAATACAGATTCAACGCTAGGGACTATTTCTCCCGCCCTTATTACCCTTCTACTCACCACAGATTTCAAGCCCGTGTATGACAGACAATGTTGTTCCTCACTTAGCGATCTATCTGGTAAATTTACTACGCTACAATAGCTAGTAGGTGACTCACGCTTGTTTATGGGCTGACTAGAATAGCGAGTTTTGGAAAGTAACTATTCGAACTCATGTATCTGTTCCTCTTTGTGGTGTCCTTGAGTGGCTTTCGATCCCGTTCCTTTGGTTTTGATTAACTGGAATTCTGCGGGAGAGATCATGGTCTGAAGATTTAATTGAGTCGACACGCGTGGTGATGGATATAACATAAACGCCGAGCAGTGAAGTAAGTCCTCTGTTTGAGGAATGACCCGGCCGCTGAGAATGCTATTTGGGCAAAAGCGAGTGATGTCCAGCGCCTTAACCAGTAAACATGTGGGGATTTAGCTGTACTTCAAGCATATTTTATGGAATATGCGGTGCTTCTCCCAGTTTACCTCTAACCTTGCCGATCGAACGTAGTCGCTTGACAGTTTGCAAACACATGGTCCTTATCTGTTCTCAATCAACTGGAGAAAGCTTGGAACCTTTTGAGAAGTCATCATTTCAGAAGGGCTTGGTTAACTATGAGTTTTTAACTGGTCAGCGTTTCGCTTTTCACGCAGACTTCATCAGTCAGTTGATCCAAATGAACATTTAGTCAAGCAGGAATTAATCTCGGGTTGCCTACCAAACGTTGGTTTTGTCCTGGAAAGTTTGATCTCTTTTGAGGTTGCCGGGACCGTTCATGACAAAAGTCCTTGTGTCCAAGTTATGAACATCTATTGCTTGGTTGTTATCGAAGCTTAAGATTAATGGACTGTCTTATTCTCCAATGGCAACCCGTTTGTTCTGAATTAGTCAACGGCCTGTTAAAATGTGATCCTTTTCTCTTGTTATGCCTTTTCCTGAAATTTCAATCAGTTACGAGTTCTTCCCAGTCTGGGACTTTATGTGCATGTAAACACGGTCGACTCCTCACGATTACTTCATCTCACGCATGAAGGCCACATTTCTATGGCACATTGAGCTGGCTAATCACGATTAATCACTCGTTCCATCTACTTTTTTATCCTAAAATTGTTTGAGACATCCTTTAGTCACTTACCTCGTTGTACGAGTTGCCGGCAATAAGTGAGCTTCAATGTCTACATGGTTCCATTTTCGAGTGGCTGTAGCATGGAACTGATAACAGAAGAATGACTGAGCTACGTTGTCGACCGGCACATGACATCCTTCGGTTTTGCGCTACCGGTCCATTTTTTGAGCACTCAGTCGATTCTCAAATATCACTGGCTCGTTTGAGCCAATCCTATGAATCCAGACATGTAGATAACTTTTAACGATCGGTTTCAAACGTAACAAGGTAACAAGTAATCCTGACCTTTCACCTTTCTGTATTTCATTGCTATACCGCTCATCTGACGGAACATCGGACAAATTTGCCCATAAATCTACGAGGGTCATTATGGATATATACATCGTGTGTGCTCTGGTCTTACTCGTGTAAGAACACTAAGACAGAAACTCGCTGATGCCGTAGGACAAAGCAGCAGCAATGCTACTGATATCCGTTTAGCTATCGACTGGTAACACCAAGCTAATGATAAATCGCATTGCCGTTATCGTGGAAAATCGAATATTCTAGGATCCACATAGTGTCATCTATTGAGTCTCGGAAGAGCTGGGTCTCCCGAAGAGATTGCCATGTAGATACCTGTGCGTCACATGAATTCTCCTCGAAGAAGGTTCTTTTTCCCGAGGGTGACTTTCTGTACTGACGATTATCTGTTATTTTTCATGTGAGTGTGGTTGATGGAGCTCGTTCAGGCCATTGAGACACATTTTTCGTCGTACAACTTTCCGTTTCATTAAAAATCCCTCTTCCCGACTATCTTATTTTTGAAGGTAATGACGTACATGGTGCTCAGCTTCGCTTGAATAAGATGTTCAAATCCAAGTCTGCTGAGCTTAGTACATTATGTACTGGGCTTGCTACCTGTCACTTCTCCCACAAAGGTCGTCAAATCGTACATATATCAGTATGACCAATTCCATGTAGTTAACATTTTTGACAAATTTCACCGAAAAATGTAACCCAAGAAATCACCCTTACCCACAAAACTTGGTTGTTTGGGCTTTTCAGGTACGGGGAATTTCGGGTGGGCATTCGTCTCATCTGAGCGCACTCACTCGCTGCTGTCGCCCACATGGTGCTCTGTTCTGTGCAGAGGTAAACGGTACCGTTCGTATGATCGATCCACGAACGCCTCACTCCTCGCAGATGTCTAATCCACTCCAATTTTTCAGTGGTTCCTTCCTTGCAGGCCTTAGGAAGGACCATTCTCGAGTTCCCACCACATATATTCCAAGTGAACAAAGTTCTTCATGTAAGACATGCTGGCTTTTACATTTTTAATCCGTATAATGCGCTTTCTCGATCCTCAGTGGCTCACAGATTGCCGAGTGAATTTTACTTTCCGCCCATTCATACATAGACCGTTTTGCCACTTATTTCACCATTCGCCCTACTAGCGACTGACGGCTACTCTTCTCCTTGCTGTTAAGCGCTTCCGAAACCCGCTAGTCCTCTTTTTTTACTTTTATGGACAGTTTCCTCTGAAATATTTGCTTCTTCGGAATTCGATATTTTTCATCGTAGAAACCCCGGCACGGGGTACATTTGTCCAAGTTTATTTCATTGGACCTTTTTCCGAAGGAGATTACTTAGTACATGGTGGGGGAAGGAGATGATTACGCATTCCGTGCTTCATCTCCGTACTACAGCGAGATAACTTAGGTGCGAAGATGAACCAGAAGCGTGTGGAATGGGTTCACAGCCACATTGTTGCATATCTTGTCAACCACAGAAAGGCCAAGTCCTGTTGAACCAGTTGCTCTCACTGGTATGTAGACTCTTCAGTTCACAATTTTTCTCTGCAATCAGTGCATGAAAATTGTCCTCAGTGGATGGTAGTCATACATGTACAGCATATCTCCAGGCCTATAGAAACAGCAAGCAGAGACAAGATAGAACATATGATTTTATATAACGAAATGCTTCTTTTTACTGTTCACCCATGCAATTCTATTCAATTTTATCCAGCTGATCTAGTTACTCCGCGTCTTGCTGCGCTGACGGCTGCTCTTCGTGGTCCAACAAACTTCCTTTCTAGCCAGACACCCTCCAATCCAACCGTACTTCCACCTCCCTCGAATGCTGGTACACTGACACGTCTAGCTGTTTGTGATGGAGCTAATGTGCTTCTTTGCGGTTTCACATCGGGTTTCCTGACCGCTGTGGACCTAAGACAGTTCCAAGTTATTCAGGCATGGCAAGCACATAGCGATGCGATCGTACAGGTAAGTGGTACTTAGGAGACTATCTTTACCGTGAAATAGGTTTCGTGTAGACAGAATCAGCATCCTTTTGGTCTAGCTTAGGTTAACTTTTGCGCATTGTACATGGAATGTGGTTTGATCAATCACTTGCAAGTTGAAACAAAGAACCTTTTTAATTATTGGTTGGTTCGTCTTCACCAGTAAAGACGTGTTGAACAGTACTTTACGGTTCCATAATGTGTACACCGCCACAATCCTCTTATTCAGTCCATTCTACATGTTTGTCACGTAATGCCAGTGGTGTCTGCGCCTTCTACTAACCCTTGTTTCATGTTTCTTTTCTTCACCAGCTTGGATGCACAACGACTGATTGGTTCGTTTCGAGTGGAGACCGTAGTCTTGCATTTTGGCATATGAATTCCGATCTACATATTGATTGCATTCGAACCCTAGACCACGTTTTTGCCCGCTGTTCGACTACTACACCTGAGGAAAATGCCACTAACTCTGGAGTAGCAGAGTCTAGTGCCGCCTTTCCTGTGGGTATCAGTTCTGTCAGCCAATTTGCTTGTTGCAAGGACGAACTGCTTGTTTGCGGACCGACTTTCGCTCCCACCGCCAGTGTATCCGGTCTGGCGCCCAGTCCGAACGAACTCTACCCTCGACAAGCATCAAACTACAGCACTGCATCCACAACCGTAGGTGTCGATCTGCTGGGTGTTTACCGCCCCGCTACACAAGGACACTTTTCGTACCAACCACTTGGTCGGATTCCTTCACATCTCCTTCGTGGACGTGTCACAACGCTTTCTAGTCTGTCCTTATCCGGTCTCTTCTTAGTGGGCAGTCACACTGGTGCAGTTAGCCTTCTGTATTAATTACACTCGTATTGTGTCCACTTCCGTCGCAGCGGCTCGCCTTTGCCTTCGACTTGAAAACTGTGGATGATAAAGCAATATGTCACTACCTGGCAATTTTCGGGAGTTTTCATCTTTTTTTCTATTTTTTTTAACCGCCCCATTAACATAACTTTCACACTGCTTTTCTGTACACGCTGGTAATGTTTTTTAATAAATTGGGCTGTGAAATTCTTAATTGCTTGTGTGTTTTATCACTAACGTAGCCTGTGCCTGTGGTTCGATTTGACGGTCCCTGTTGCCAAAATTTAGGCTCTGCGGTACAGTGAAGACTCGAATTTACCTGGTGAAGTTTACAAAGTTCCACAGAAGTGCAGAGATACTCGTTTTATTAAGTGGTTATCATACCGGAAAGGCCTGTTGGTCATGTGACCTAGAATATCCTTAAAATTTACCCTTCCATCGATCGACAAAAACACCGGTTGTGAAATTGTTTGCAACACCCATACATACAACCGGATTGTTTCCGGGGGCATGTGCCGAGTGACTATCTGTCAAATTTCTCTGTCTTTCTCTGATTTGCTTTCATGCAAAGGTCAGCCAATAATACTATCAGTGAGAAACAGCGACACTTGAATTCATTCTTAGATATCTTAGAAAATTTCATTATAAGACCCTATATTGAGCGTTTGTCCGGTCTCGTCGCCATTGGTGTTTTTCAACTGAAACTGTCCCCGGATCTTTGCTACGTGACGATGGTCTGCTGCATCTTTGTATGCCGATTCCGAAGATATCTGCCACTTGATTGATTCCTTCACCAGATGCATTGCTACAGCTTTTCAGCTCCTAACATGTGTTTCCAAGTCACCGTCTTCAGGTAATCCATGGCGGGTGCAACAGGGGCTCTAATGAGTTCCTCTATCCCAGGTTACTCGATACACGCCGCCCAAATACGCCTCTTTGTTTGGTATCACATGATAATAAGAAATTCACGAAACATACTGCAAAGATAATCACCAGCTTTATTGAAAATAGTTATTTTGATTAGTGCATTGAGCATCTTCCTGTCTCCCATGTTGGGCTGAGTTCATCTTTTCTGAGCACTACCTGAACAGCCATCATCATGCCAACCAGTCTCTCTTTGTTTTCCATGGTCTGCCCCGTTCTGCGCAACCATTGCCTCACTGTCCGTCAAACATACACAAATTTGATAAATACACTCATTTGCAAATCAATTTGGTTTGCACGAGAGACTCAACTGAATCTCTCGTTTATGATGTTCCACAACTGAATATGCTGCACACAGGCCGCATCATGTTTCAGTTGGTACGATATTCCAGATATCGCAGCATATTTTCATGAACGAAACTACTCACAAGGTCGAAGTTTTCAGCAACCTTGTGAGCAGTTCCCTTCATGAAAATACACAAATTTAGTTTGTTTTCGTGGCTGATTTGCACCATCAACCGTCATGTCAATTTCCCTCTGTTGTCCAAACATTATCAGTCCTATTCACAAACCGAGCGGTAAACTGTTGGAGTAAACATCTCAATGGTGTCTGTTTGAGGCACAGTATGGTCGACTGAAATGACTTCAGTCCCAGCGGCTCATACAAGCAGCCTACCCAGGTTTCAGGTCATCCAAGCCTATTGTTACCGTCACTAAGAGGAGCAATGAGTGCGGCTTTCGCATACGATGTTACTGATACCTGTGTGTCGTCCTTATCGTATTAATTTTGTGTCTTTTGATATATTCTCAAGTGCACATTGAGAAAACATGTAGTAGTCTAACTTGTATGCAGTAGAAGCTGTACGTCGGATATATGAAGTATGTAGCTTAACAGTTTAGCAAGCCTCCAAACCGGATGCATTTATTAACAATCATTACCCAAAAGCCTCGTTTGTCAATTTTCATTGTTGTTCAAACTAGCGCCTGAGAAAATCCGTTTAGTGAGCCTATCCAAATGTCTAATAAGACACACTGCCAAGCTGTTTTTCAGCTGCGATCGACACCATAAATCGCCTGGCATTTGACGCATCCTCACTCAAGCATATTCATAACTCTTGCTATTACGAACACCTGTTTCTGAAAACGACTTGGCTGGTGGTGGCAGTGACAAATGTAACAAACAGTCAAAACTCAGTACACAACATCAATTTTGTTGATTGGTTGGGGCTCTGTGTGCAAGCTTCTTTGGTCAACCAAGGCAGGGTTAAAATGAGCGTGACTAATTGTTCTAATTGGGATTGCTTGGGTTCCTGTGCATTGGATTGATTCGATTGTGCCGTGTATCAAACTAGACAACACAGCTGGATTAATTCGGTGACCTGCATTGACTAGGCTAGTCGCGGCAAATTCCATTCTCCATCGGCCCAGCAGTGAGCCTGCATGAACCGACCAATCATTCCTACTAAAGTACGAACAGTCATGATTTCTTTTTCACTAAATCCTTGACTAACTAGACCACTCCGATGCAACCATTTACCATTTTCTCTCAGTAAGCACGTTGTATGCTGGTCAAAAGCCACTATTCGTAGAACCAGGTGTTCTACAAGAAGCAAAACACTGTGCGCAGCATTTCATATTTTATGGTTTAAAACAAAATCCATCGCTCATTCCTTCCATCTGAATTTGGCTGAGCAACAGGAACAGATTTCAAAATCCAGGTTGATTTCAAGTCTAGGTCTCGATCCAACGCCGACATCGTAAGGTCTATAACCACAAAAACAATGCATAGGTGGACAAGTTTCACCGTCTATCATCGCGTTTGCTTCAGTCCATTTTGCGAGTGATGACTGTCGAAGAGTTCTCAGCGACCTTATGAGTAGTTTTCTTTGAGAAAATATGATGCGATGTTTCGAATATCGTACCAAATATGGCGTCATTAATGCAGTACATTGAGTTGAAGAATATCATAAACGAGAGGTTTAGTTGGGATTCCGTTGAGTCTTGCGTGAATACCAGCTTGGTATGCAAATAGGTTTATCTCGCGAAGACTAATTTAATTTAGGCCATCACTGTTTAGCTGTTTGGGAATTGTCATGTGGGTGTACCATGTTCATACGATCTTGGAGTGCTCGCGACCACTTTTAACGTCTCACTTATCTTTTCTCTGATTAGCTGGTGAATGGGGAAAGGTGGCAAACCAGCAAAGGGAGGAGATCCGAACAAAGGTGCGAATAAGAAACCAGGAGGCACCTCTAGTGGGGAATCCAGTGCTGCTGGAGCGAAAGTCTCAAAAGCGGGAACTGCTGTGAAGGTATGTTGGTCATCTTCGTCCAGGTTTCTTTACAGCTTCTTAAGTCTGTCTTGCTGAATATCCACACCATGTCTCACTTGCGATTCTAAATCCACTCACTATTAGTCTTCGGTGTCACAAGTTTTATGCAACATATCTTAAAATAACCTCTCAGGTTACCCACAAAGCTAAATCTTTTCACTCGTGAATAATGACATAAGCTCACTGTTCTGTGTTCGCATTATTTACTGTCGTTTCATTCTCCCATTTGTAAACTCAACTCAAATTCTTCTGGTGGACGCGTTATCTTGGGGTCAATATTCTGGAACCGCCTCATACGGGATTAAATGGCGATCCATCTACACCCGTCTGATAAGCTTCAGCAAGGGTAATCGTCTATATATGTCAGGGATCCTCATGTACTTTTTCCCTGTCTCAAAGAATTGAGACGGGACCTAAAAAAATCGGGTTATTCACTGGTAGTGAGTGAATCGGGAGAGGTATATGCATAACGAAGTGATGAAGCACTAATGTCGGATGTCCAGCAAAAAAACATCCATAAGTTTTCTCAGTGCTCGAGCGTGTTCCAAACCCAGTGTTTCGCTTAAGGTCATTGCCTATTTAGGATAAACAGCCTGACTCTTTTGGCCGCATCTTTTCCGTTACAAATAGAAGATTTGAAGATTCACTGGTCCAACTGAGTTTGCATAACTCTTCAAATGCTACGAACGAACCTGGTATCAATACCCAAAATAAGACGATGTAATTATTTGATTTACAAACTTGGTCACAGTGTTGGTCCAACAATAGATATCGTCTGACAATACAGCGTGCGTCAGCTGAACATTGGAGCTTCGGTCTAATGCGACAACCCGTTTTCGGGATCGAGTGGAGACAAATGTTGACAAAGCTTCACTGCCGAACGCGTTTTCGAGAACTTGTTTACCCCAGTATCTTATGGACTCAACATTATCCATGTACAGGAAAAATTCAGAAAGACAGTGGCAATCCACTCAAAGTTCTGCTGCGTTAGGCTTTTTATCCTCAGCGAACCTCATCATATGGGCTTAGAGGCTAGCAATTGCACGCCAGATCTTGTGATTGCCACTATAGAATAGCATCCTTGGATAGCTCGATTTCTTGGGATATCTTTCTTGTCATTTGATCGAATTTCAATCCGGCGGTATACCACTCGTCGAAACGCTCTCCACGATCATTCCCTGTATAGAATAGACTACCTCACTAAAAAGTAATAGTTCGGCTGTACCACCCTTCCGCTGCCCAGCCGCCATGCTACCCAAAGGAAGCACGAGGGCTGAAATACTGCCAGGTTGCCCAAGCCTAGACGGGAGCAGTCGAGATGCAGTGCTTGAGCCCGAACCACAGACCTTCCGTCCTAACCGCTGAGATATCTTGACCTCAGTATTCAAGCGTAATTACTCTATCTATGTAAGTCAAAATTAGCCGTCACATGTTCCACATACGTTTAAATAATTGCTTTTAGTCTGTTATACTATGCGGTGACCTTCAGTATCTGCTGATACGGCTTCTTGTGTGGTTATGTGACGTTGTTTTGATTCTCTGTGATACTCAAAAAGAGTATAACTAACCACCAGTAAGCATGACGTGAGTGGAAGGTAGTATGCACGAGAAGAAAAATACGTGTTTTGCTTTGAATCATGTGTGTCCTAGCGTGACAACTGTCTTTCGTGTGAGGCTGATAAATTCATCTTGCTTCGTCTGTACAACTTTAGGTTCGACACATACTGTGTGAAAAACAGAGCAAGTGCCTCGAAGCCCTGGAACAATTGCGCAATGGCAAACGTTTTAACCAAGTTGCAGAAGCGTACAGTGAAGACAAAGCAAGATCTGGTGGAGATTTGGGGTGGATGACGCGTGGGTCCATGGTCGGCGCATTCCAAGTAAACTTTTGAACTTCATTGTTCAGTACTCTGGAAGAACTTTGTCTTTTTTCCTGAGAAAGCAGTTTTTGCGTACGTATTNACTTTTGAACTTCATTGTTCAGTACTCTGGAAGAACTTTGTCTTTTTTCCTGAGAAAGCAGTTTTTGCCGTACGTATTTCCCTACACTGAGGAAACGGAGTTTGCTGACGGGCCCTTTCGGATTTCTGAACTGGCTGCCTCACTGCCAATCCTAGATTATCATCTACCCAGATTTACGACGCAAATATCGCTTTTAAAGGCCGATTTTTTCTTCGTTTTCTGAATTACTGCGCTGTGTTTGACCTAAACTGGCGAGATACACCGATAGCAGTGGTGGTTACGGATACTATAACCTTCGAGCCGTTTTTGTGTCGGTGATCCGCGATTGAGAGAGCGATTGCAAATTTGTCAAGTTCAGCATAGTATGCCACGTGTGAATTACTACGTCCATTGCCAGGTAATCTACTGGAACTCAGGGGTTGAACGTGTTTGCCCTTGAGCATTCACCTCCATCCATTAGTAGATATCTAGGGAAGAGCGCTGTGTGACACAGGCAAGATGCCAAACCGTCTCTCCAAGTGAACGCGACTGTTTCGCTCTGCCACAATAGACATGATCTTTAGTACAAAGTTCACAAACAATCGTCGGGTCCCATGACGGAAGCCAAACTAGTATTATCTAGTTTTAACCTTTGGAAACCAACTTGACATCCAATCTGGTAGCAGAGCACACTTGGGTGTTTCGATCATAAGATGTGGTGCGGTGCAACTGGGAACTTGTGGGCTGAGGTCCCGTGGTCCAAAAAATTACACCCGATCCTTGTTTGGGAACAAGCAGAAAGACGTGTAGACAATACCTCATGTTCAGTTTGATTACGCTTTTCTCGCATAACACCCTAAGTGAAATCATTTCCGTCTTGGAATCGCTAATATGTTTTACATCGTTCACTTCTCACCCGTACTTTGAATACATGGATAGTTTGGAACATAATTCCGGAAGCCTCTGCCTCAGAGCATTTCCTGTTGCCTTCCAGCCTACACTGACCTCTTTCATATATTCGTTTTTTTCTCTCGTTTCGATATAGGATGCTGCCTTCGCGCTTCCTGTTTCGACGTTGGACAACCCAAAGTACACCGATCCTCCTATTCGAACCCAATTTGGCTATCATATTATAATGGTTGAAGGAAAACGTTGATGTATTTTCTCTGATTGTTTAATGTCCTATAATTACACTATGTATGTTCTGCATGGACTCGCCTAAGTTTTTATGGTTGAATCCTTTCCAGCTTTTTCATTGACTTCACTAACACTCGCTCCATAAACTGACCTTTCATAAGGTTTGTATCGACTGTTGTGACCATTGAGAAAAGTGACCCGTTCGCGATAGCATCGTAAATCACTGCCAGCTGTGGAGGACAGCTAATCCGTGATAAAGACGTCTCCAGTAGGCTTTTCGCTGTGTCTGAATGCTCCCTTGAAGATCGTATTGCGTTATAGGATTTTCAAGAGATCACCCTGCGGATTTGTATACGGTTTGGGATTCTATGCAACTGTACCAAGTATTTTAGTTTTATTCAGCTTCATCCTCGTCGTTCACCTCCCAGGAGGCCAGTGGGTAAAACTAGAATACTTTAGACAGCGCTTCAGACTACTATGCCCGGCGTTCTGCAAACACCAGCGTGCTCATCGGAGCGCAGAATGTGAAACATTTCTGGCTTTGCTCCCCGCGCATTCACATTCTGCATACATACTATATGATCTAAGGATGGTTGTCCACCAGATGCAAGTGAAAGGCTTGGGCAACATACTGGAACCTACCGAAAATTCCATGGGTAAATATAGGATAATGTTTAACAACAGAAGGACGGTGGGCGAAACTTATCGGGGAAGACGGGATGCTCCAAATGCTGCTGAAGGGATTCACAGCAAGTATTACAACTTGAGTCCATCTACACTACTTGAATAATAATGATATGCTTCTTCCTGTCACATCCAAATCAATTTGTTCTCGACAAACCTCTAGAAGAAATCCTAACTCTCCCATTTCTCCGTTACAGGAGCAACCAGTGATTAGCTTGAATAGTAAAAAAACATCCTCTGATTTGGATGTCACGAAGTACATAATGCCTTGTCATCTGACCTGCTACTTGCTTGCACTGTCGCTTTATTGTCTTATTTTGTTTGTCCTGTGATACCTCAGAGGTGATTACTAATTTCCACAGATGTTTTTTTCACCGGCGGTACTTATGCCGCTTCTTTTAAACAATTAACAGCCACGTTTCACAATATTTTACGCAAAAGCTAAACTAGATTCCGAGTGCATTTCTCAAAGTCAAACAAATAACGGATTTCTACCCCATGGTCCCAGAGAGAAGCATTTCCTCTCCGGTTATCTTGACGCTCAGGCGTTGAGTAAACTGTTTCTTATTAAGTTATTTGTTTCGAACTGGGTGCAATATCTGATGAGGATTCACAACGCAAGTGCATACGGTCTTTCGATTACTCTGTCCCCTTCCTGGACGACCCATCTACCAAGGACAAACTATTCAATGGGGAAGCCATTAATGGACTTATATTGCGGAATAGCACCAACGTGGCTGGATCCGTTAGCTCTTAGCTTGTTCGTCACCCTGTTCAATCGGTGTGCAAACGTTCCGTTGCCGTTCGTATGACCATCACTTGTGTGCCCACCCAACAGTGCGCTGACATTTCCTCGAATATTGGCGAAACGTTTGCGAATCAGTTGCCAAGCTTGGGTAACAAGACAACGACCAACCAAATTTTCACAACCCAGCTGCTGCATTCAGCAACAAATCTATTATGGATTTTCGCTTCATCGCTTGCTTTTGATAAAAAGAACGTAGACTATTATGGTTTGTCTAACGAGCGAATTTGTGCTATTTTCAATCGCATAATTCTGACAGAGCATCTTCCACGATCGTTGCATTCCACTTATGAACGGTTTTACTGTTTGATTTCGATCAGTGCTCTCAATTAACATGGCTTGCACTGGTGGCTTGGAATGGTGTTATTGCACTGGGAATGAATAGTCTTAGTGAAATTCTTGCCTCTGAAGAATTGTTCTAGAAAATAATCTCCAGGTTTCCTTGCTCACAACATATTATTAAAACTCAAGGACCTCACGCCAAGACGTCTGTGTTTCCCACAAGACGTCCCGATAAAGTTGCCACAATAACTCGATGATAATCCTTAAGTGTTTTATTTGAAATATCAAGGTAATCGGACGTGAAGCTACTGTCTTAGTCGGTTTTCAACCTCGAATATCAAACCTGAAGCCCTGTAGAAATCCCCATCTTACTTTACCACCAACCCATGCTTTGCGGGACACTGGGACAGATTTTCTGGAGACTTTGTTAGGATACTTCTCACACACCTTACTCTGAGATGGGCGTAGGGTCATTCACATGTTGCAGTTGAGTTAGTTGACAATTTACCAGTGACGTACGTGTATCCACTGATGATCCCAACCATCATCGCGCGTCCATCTCAATAGGGTGACCTTCGATCATCCATTTTTTCTTGGTCTGCCATCAAGAAAATCCTCCTATGGTCCTCTTAAATATGCAAGTCGAGCACTCTGGAAATAGCATCAGTTGAGTTCTTCCTGAGTTGCTAGTTGGTCGGCCTCAAGTCGGTGGCTTTTGCGATTCCGCTGAACAGTGTTGTGAAATTGCCTTTCCTCTGAACTACTTATGTGTTGTCGGTAGCTTGAGGAAATACGGGAATGTTTCAATTGAGACCTTCGTTATGCAAAGGGAGTCAACCTATACTGAAAAAACGAGAAGCACTATATAGGAAATACGGGAATGTTTCAATTGAGACCGTTCTGCAAAGGGAGTCAACCTATGCTGAAAAAACGAGAAGCACTATAGCTGGTCAAATTTATCTGAAAGAACAACTAAAGGACCATGGGACTACGCCTACCTGATGAGCCTCAAGAAGTAAAAAAAACTGGTCGTGGGCTGTCAAAGTGCTTTACCAACCTTGTGATTATTTTTATTCAAGAAAATGCACTGCTGGGAATCGTCAGCACATCTCACAAGATGAGTTGAACTTTCTTCTGAGAAGTCAACCTCATCATGTGAATTTGACTCCAGATCCCAGAAAGGGCTCGATAAGAATTCCAGAGGAGGTAGAAGCCGCATTCGGCCTTGTTTCCCTGGCTGAACAAAGTTTTGCAACGCTCGAGTGTTCATAGTATTGAAACTAACAATCGCGATCTTCAAACATCTTGCGAGGATTTTTACTTTGGACCTTGTTGCTGTTGTTATTATTATAGCTGTTCGGTGAAAATCAAATCAAAACGCCTTGAAATAAACTGCAATAAAGCTGCTTTTGGGGGCAGCTCCCTTCTCACTGTAAGTCCCGCATAATGTGGACGAATATCTCTGTCTTACTTGCTCTACAGAGAAAACCCAGCGAATGTTATTAAGCCCTTTCTGTATTCCGGTACTTTGCAGTGATTGATGCGATCGTTTCTGTAAATCTTCGGAATTAATGGATGCAACCAGCGATGACATATTTTTGGTCCAGCCGGGTAAAATGCCCCCAAATCACAGTGCTTAGAAGAACCAACTTTTTGCTACGTCAGATTACGGTCACCGCAAACTTGAAGTCCCGTTATTTAGTCTAATGGTGATCGACAGATTCATAAGTGGAGAATATTCCATAAAGTAAGAGTTTTTTCAGCAAAGAAAAGAACAACCTGTACATTTCTCTTGATACACATTTGGTTTTAACGAGAGATTCATCTGGAACCAAGCTGAATATCATAAACGAGAGATTCATTTGAGTCTCTCGTGAAAACCAAATTGATTTGCAAATGAGTGTATTTCTCGAGGAAAGCTGAATCCCTCTTTTAAGAGACACTTGGAGACTAGTGTTCTTAAAAGATTGTCACTCTCGCCCAAGAAAATTCTACTTCTCAGCTCGCCTCTCATAGACCGGCGCACGTCTTTCTAGCTCAAGGCACTGCTGTTGCAATGACCATTCCGTGTGTAAGGTAAGGGCATATCCTTCAGTTTTGACTGCAATTATCGGTTCACGTGTCACCAAGTCAATAACACCAACACACTGGATGGATGGAACGTTTCTGAGGTAGAGGGTGATGGGTGGCAGACAGATGCCAATATACATTGAGGAAATAAGGTGGACGGTGTAGTCATCGGATGAGTGCTCATTTAAGTGACGACATAAAATTGATTACGAGTTTAATATTTCTTAAAATTGGCGATTATCTCATCAGCGGCTAGCGCACCGCTGCACGTTTATCTGTCCCGTAACAGTTTGTAATGGGCAGAAAATTCGTATGCAGAAAGAATACATCGTTATTATACCAATGGCTGAAATATAACTAGCCCCCTGAATGTGGGGCCGGCGCCCTAATAGCCTGGGCTCAAACAAGAGCTGGTTCAACCCCCCAGTTGTGCTTTTTCCCGTCCACTTACTCACTTTTGTGAGATTTCCATAGGGGACAATAGGTACAAAATTCATCTTAAATGCACAGGGACCAAGCAGCTTTGACAGCGAAGGAGGTTCATACCGATTCCCGGCGTAATTCATCTGGCAGTTTTAACAATTCTGTTTGGTTTCGCCACGACGTCGTCATTCAGGTAGTTTCGAGCGCGCACCGCTGGTGGCTCTAAAGGGCTTTCGGTCATAATACAGCGTTGGATGTCCTATTAACGTTCGTACAACGGGCAGCTGAGACAAGTAAAATGCATAATGTAAGCTAGCACAGTTTTCCAGCGAAAATGACTGACACAGACTTTGACTATTAAATCCTAATCCCCAAACTAGTGCGCGGAAGAAAATACTCTAAAGTTTCTCAGTAAATAAGGGATTGGCTGTGTATTAATGAGCAGCAGAGGGTCAAAACAGATTTCCCTTGCAATGCGACCGGTTCTGTTTGTCATGAGCTTTGGTTTGTTTGTCCGATTACATTATACTCATAAGTGTGGGTTGGCGCATGAAACGCTTTACCTTAAAACTTACCTCTTCAAATGAGGTCCACTAGCCGCACCATCCTCTTAGCTACAGAATCTTTGCGGGTGGTATGAAACGTTTTACGCCAGTATGTTGCATTTTGTGCTCAGACCAAAAACCATCTTACTCTACAGCGTGTATCATGATAAACGCAAAACATAATACCCATGTTAAAACTTCAACACCAATTCAAACATTTATTATTTTTTATGCAGACATACATGCCTCATGGAGGTTTATCACGAACAAACTGGCATTAAAAAAGATGTTGAAAAAACCGCCCCTTTCTTCTATAACAAGTTGAAGGCGGTATGAAATGTGAGACAGCATGTTTAACTTCTTCAAGCGTCATTCGTGCAAACTGCTCTTCAATTCTTGCTCTTAACTCCACCGAATTCTTCGGTTTATTTTCATGACATACGGGAGCCTTGATCATTCCCCAAAACCAACAATCGGTCGATGACTTCTTGTTCTGCTTGAATTGCGGGACAACATGAGTCTGCAGCATATAGAGGTAACTGTCACCGGAAACCGTAACATCAAAGAAGAGATGCAGGAGAAACTTTGAGGAAGATCCCATCCACACACAGAGATGAGGGGAATCGAGATTATGGATGAGGTACTCGTGAGGAGCTTCACGGGACCATATCACGCAATTGTGATTGTTGATTATGACATCCACAGAAGAATTCGCTTCATTGCTCCACAGGACTGGACTGCTGGACTTCTTCATTGTCCAGCAGCCAGTTAGCGAACGTGACACGTTGCTCCTTGTCTTGTTCCGTGGTGTTTTGTAATAAAGTGAAATGATACGGGTAGAGATGAA